CTTTGAGCAACACATCCTGCTCAAACCTCTCCTAAGAAAGGTGGGCACAAGTCACACTCAGCCTTGAGGAGAAACCTGCCTCCTCTGTACATGCAGTGGAGGGAGGCCATTTCTCTTTTCCTCAAGATCACTGGGCACAGACTACCTTCCCCAGTACAAGAAGAGAGCCTAAACTGTCTTTCTAAAGGCCAAGTAAGAGTAAGGTAACCTCCTCCAACTGCTGCTGCTCCTAAGTCATGTCAGTCGTGTCCAACTCTGTGTGACCCCATAGACAGCATCCCACCAGGCTCCTCTGTCCCTGGGATTATCCAGGCAAGAACACTGGAGTGGGTTGCCATTTCTGTTTCCAGTGCATGAAAATGAAAAGTGAAAGTGAAGTCGCTCAGTTTTGTCCGACTCTTTGTGACCCCATGGACTGTAGCCCACCAGGCTCCTCCGTCCATGGGATTTCCCAGGCAAGAGTACTGGAGTGGGGCGCCATTGCCTTCTCCAACCTCCTCCAACTGGAGGAGGTTAAATATTCCCAGTGAGATTCACTAAAAATGTCAACTACTTAAGAATTATTATATGTCTAACACAGGCTTCCCAGGTGGTGCTAATGGTAAAGAACCTGGCTGCCAAAAAAAAAAAAAAAAAAAAAAGAACCTGGCTGCTAATGCAGGAGACTTAAAAGACGTGGGTTCGATCCCTGGGTCGAGAAGATGCCCTGGAGGAGGGCATGGCCACCCATACCAGCATTCTTGCCTGGGAAATCCCATGGACAGAGGAGCCTGGCAGGCTACAGTCCATGGGGTCGCAAAGAGTTGGACATGACTTGTGCACACTTTCAATCTATGACGGAGGTGGCAAGATATACAGTGTGGAGAAGATAACCTCTTCAATAAGCAGTGTTGGAAAAAACTGGACAGTTACACGCAAAAGAATCAAAATAGGTTATTCTTTAACACCATGCACAAAGACAGACTCAAAATGGATGAAAGGCTTAAATGTAAGATGGAAACCATGAAACTTCTAGAAGAAAAACTAGGTGGCACTCAGTTGGATATCACTCTTAGCAATAATTTTTATATATCTCCTCAGGGCTAGGGAAGCACAAGCAAAGAGAAATAATGGGACTACGTCAAACTGAAAACCTTCCGCACAGTGAAGGAAACCATCAACAAACAAAAAGTCATCTACTGCGTGGTAGAAGATATTTGCAAATGGTATATCCAATAAGGGGTTACTACCCAAAGTATGCAAAGAATCATACAACTCAATATAAATAACAAACAAACAAGAAATCTTGATTTAAAAATGGGCAGAGGACCCGAATAGACATTTTTCCAAAGAAGACATAGATGGCCAATAGGCACATGAAAAGATGCTCAGTCCCCCTCAGTGGGATTAGTGCCCTTACAAAGGAGATCTCAGCTCCCTCACCCCTTCTACTAAGTGAGGATACAGGAAGAAGCGGCTGGCTGTGAACAAGGACAAGGGGCCCGACCAGACACTGAATCTGCCGACACCTTGATCTTGGACTCCCCAACTTCCAGAACTGAGAAATAAATGTCTGCCCCCCCCCAAAAAAAAAGAAAGAAAAGAAGTTCAACATCATTAATCATCAGGGAAATGAAAATCAAAACTGCAATGAGATGTCAGAATCATCTGTCAGAATAACTATTATCAAAAAGGTGACAAATTACAAGTGCTGATGGGCGTACAGAGAAAAGGCAACATTTGTGTACTATTAGTGGGAAGGTATTGTGGCTCAGCTGGTAAAGAAGCCACCTGCAATATGGGAGACCTGGGTTCAGTCCCTGGGTTGGGAAGATAAACCCCTGGAGAAGGGAACAGCTACCCACTCCAGTATTCTGGCCTGGAGAATTCCATGGATTGTATAGTCCATGGGGTCGCAAAGAGTCAGACACAACTGAATGACTTTCAGTTCACTTAACAGTGGGAAGGTCAACTGGTGCAACCACTATGGAAAACAATATAGATGTTCCTCAAAAAATTAAATCTTAAATTCCTCAAAAAATTAAAAAGAGATGATCCAGCAATTCTAATCTTGAGTTTATATCCACAGAAAATTAAGTCACTAATTCAAAAAGATATATGCATCTCTGTGTTCATTGTAGCATTATTTACAACAGCCAAGATATGGAAGTAACCTAAGCGCCCATCAGTAGATACACAGAAAAAGAAAAAGAGGTGCATATATGCATTAGAATATTACTCAGACATAAAAAAGAACAAAATAATGCCATTTGCAGCAACTTGGATGGACCTGGAGATGGTCACACTGAGTGAAGTCAGTCAGACACAGACGAGTATCATATAATATCGCTTATATATGGAATCTAAAAAATGCATACAAATAAAGTTATTTACAAAGTAGAAGGAGAGTCATGGACGTAGAAAACAAACTCATGGTTTCCAGGGGATAAGGCGGGGAGGATAAACTGGGAGACTGGGACGGACACATACAGACTACTATACATAAAACAGATGACTGACAGGAGCCCATTGTATAAAGCACAGGAAACTCTGCTCAATGCTCTGTAAAGGCCTGCATGGGAAAAGAATCTTAAAGTGGACATACATATATGTGTAACTGACTCACTTTGCAGTACCCCTGAAACTAACACAACATGGTAATTCAACTGTACTCCAATAACATTTTTTAAAAAAAAGAATGAAATCTTGCCATTTGTGACAATATGGATGCACCTAGGATATTATGCGAATTATGAAGTAAATTGGACAGAGATAAACAAATACTGTATGAATTCACTTATATGTGGAATCTGAAAAACAAAACAAATAAGTACACATAACTAAACAAAGTCATGGATACAAAGAAAAGGACAGGTAGTTTCCAGAGGGGAGGGGAGCAAGAGAAAGAAAACTGGTGAAGAAAATTAAAAAGCACCAATTTTTAGTTGCAAAATAAATGTCAGGGGTATGAAACAGTGTGGGAAATATAGTCAATTATGTAATATCTTTCTATGGTGACATATCATAACTAGACTTATCCTGATGATCATTTTGAAAAGAACAGAAATATTGAATCACTATGCTGTGTACCAGGGACTAACATAATGTTGCAGGTCAATTACACTTCAAAATAAACTCATAGAAAAAGAGATCAAATTTGTGGTTACCAGACGTGGGACGTGGGTGGGAAAAATTGGATAAAAGCAGTCAAAAGATACAAATTTCCACTTATAAGTAAGTCCCAGGGATGTAAGGTAAAACTTGATTAATATAATTAACACTGTTTTATATTATATAGGAAAGTTGTTAAAAGAGCAAATCCTAAGAGTGCTCATCACAAGGAAAAATTGTATTGGTTTCCATTTCTTTAATTTTATTGGGTTAGCTGAAAAAGTTCCTTCAGTTTTTTAAGTAAAAATAAAAGGCACGTTTTTCATTTTTACCACTAACTTTATTGAACAACTCCTTCACCATTTTGTTCCACTACCTTGGGCCATTTTTCAGGCAACTTCATAATTCCATCTTCCCAAAACTTTCTATCTTATTGAGCAAAGAACTGTTCCAGGTGCCTTTTACAGTCTTCCAGGGAATGGAAATTTTTTCCATTAAGAGAATAAATGGAAATCCGAAGGGGCAATGTCTGGTGAACACAGCACATGAATCAGAACTTCCCAGCCTAGCTGTAACAGCTTTTGCCTGGTCATCAAAGAAGCATGAGGTCTTGCATTATCCTGATGGAAGATTATGCATTTTCCGTTGACTAATTCCAGATGCTATTCGTTGAGTTCTGCTTTCAGTTGGTCTAATTAGGAGCAGTCCTTGTTGGAATCAATTGGTTTTCCAGAAGGAGCTCATGACAGAAAACTCCCAACCCCACCATATATACAACATCACCTTCTTTGGAAGAAGACCGGACTTTGGTGTGGTTGGCGGTGGTTCATTTCACTTGTCCCATGATCTCTTTTGTTCCACATTATTGTATAGTATCTACTTTTCATGGCCTGTCACAACTTGTTTTCAAAACAGAACATTTTTCTTTACATTTCAGTAGAGAATTGCATGTGGAGATACCGTCAAGAAGGTTTGTTTCGCCTAACTTATGTGGAATTGAAACATCAAAGCAATTAACATAGCGAGTGGTGCAAATGATTTTCAACACTTGGTTTGGGTATTTTGAGTATGTCAGCTATCTACCGTGTGGTATAGTGCTTGTTCTCAATTAATTTCTCAATTTGATCACCATCAACGTCAACTGGTCTACCCGACTGGGCATATTGTCCAGTGAGAAATCTCCAGCTCGAAACTTTGCAAACCACTTTTCACACATTCCATCAGTCACAGTACCTTCCCCACACACTGCACACATCTTTTTCTACATTTCAGTTGTGTTTTTACCTTTCTTGAAATAATAAAGCATATTATAAGAATGTTGCTTTTCTTCATCTTCAATATTAAAATAGCAATACAAAAATTCACTAATTTTGATGTTTTTTAAAATGCATGCTGATATGACAGCAGTCACAATATTTTAATCTAATAAAATTGTTTCAAAAGAAGCTAGACAACTAAGCTCTACTAGCGCCATCTTGTGGAAAAAATGAACAAAACTTTTGGCCAGCCCAATATATCTATATAAGATGGTTCACTGAACTTGGGGCTTCCTAGGTGGCGCAGTGGTAAAGAATCGGCCTGCCAATGTGCAACAGACCCAGGTTCAAATCTCTAGGTTGGGAAGATCCCCTGGAGAAGGAAATGGCAACCCACTCCAGTATTCTTGCCTGGAGAATCCATGGACAGAGGAGTCTGGCAGGCTATGGTCCATAGGGTCGCAAAGAATCGGATATGACTAAACACACGCACGCTGAACTTATGTGGTAATCATTTCATGATGTATGTAATTCAAATCATTGTGCTATACATCTTAAACTTACATAGTGCTGTATGTCAATTATATCTCCATAAAACTGGAAGAAAAAAGAATGAAGAGGGTAAAAGAGAAATTTTAATATACTGAAAAAAATTTAGGAGATAGCATCCTGAAATTTCTCAGTAGCAGGTATATCATGGTGTTTTATGTTTTCTTTCAGCAGAGGGAGCACCTGAGATCCTACGGAGAGGTAACATGGAGAAGATAAATCCAAAGACGTATGCATCAGGTACACTCCAAATTTCACCTGTAAGCAAAACAGCAACAACAGGAAGAAGGTTATTTTAGCAGTTAAAATAATTTTGCAAATAATAACGTTCCACTAAAATTAAGTAGGGTCTTTAAAGACAGGTCCTGGGATTTGATATATCCTGTCCGTCATGTAGTAGAAGCAGTGAGAAACAGGGAGAACCCTGGTCTTCCCTGGTGGTCCAGGGGTAAAGCATCCACCTGCCAATGCAGGGAACACGGCTTCCATCCCTGGTCCAGGAGGCTTCAATGTACTGCTGGGCAACTAAGCCCATGTGCCACAACTACTGAGCCCGTACTCTGCAACAAGGGAAAGCACTGGAAGGAGAAGCCTGTGTGCCGCACGACAGAGTACCCCCCACGTGCGGCAACAAAGACACAGCCTAGCCAAAAATAAAAATAAATTAAAAATTAAAGAAAAAAAAACGACACCACAGATTCTCATTCTGAACAGTTTTTTCCTAATAGTCTTCCACACCTTTTTATTGCTGGACCTTCTATTCTTTCTTCCTGCCTGTATCCCCTGAGTTTCCCACAGGAGGGCTTTGTCCTGCTCTGGCCTTCTAACCCACCGTCAGGCTGATTTCTGCTCTGTTCCCTGATGCAAAAGCCATTTTGTGAAAATATGGGCAAAACTCTGCATTTTCTATAAGAATGTGTGATATGCACTGAGTTCTCCAAATTCTCCGGAATAAAGATGGAAGGTCCAAAATGAAGAGTCGTGTGAGTTTACTCCAGGTTTGCCATCAGTGCGAGTGAGCCAGGAGCAACCCTTTGGAATATGAGACGTGCTCCCAGGTCTCTTCATTCCTGGGATTATAGCAGTTGGCCAGCACCGTGGTCCAGGCCCCAGGCTAGGGACCAGAACCAAATGAATTCCTTAGTATTTGTGTACATGTAGGTGAGGAATACACAGGAGTTCTCTGTACTTTCTTTGCAATTTTTCTATAAATCTAAATTTATTCCAAAATTTGAGAGAATAAAAGACTTGCACACAAGAATTATAGTGACACTGAGAAATACCACTTCCATGTCTAGTAGCATTCGTGCCCACCCATCCCCTCTCCTGACAACCTATGTGGGGCAGACTCACAGTCCCCATGCCCCCAGCTGACAAGGCTGGCTGCACCTGTGCAGAGAGACACATTAGTGTAACACTCAAGTGCAACCGCTCTGCAGACCACACCTGTGCACATCTGCAAGGAAAGTTTTGTCGATCAATGGCTGTGAAACAAAAACTCTGGCTTTGGAGAAACACAAGAAACAATGCAGACATTTTCCCATCAGTTAACTTGCCAGGCTGTTACTGGAAAGAGATGAAACGCTTGCCTTATTTCTGTTAATTTTCAACAATTGTTCCATGCAGCCTGACTGCTTACTTGGCTTTCTGGAATACTCTGCAAACAGAAAGTCCTGACAGAAAGTGCGAGCCCAGAAATAAATGAGTCTTCCTAATGAATCATCTGTTAGAAAGTCAGCTTTTATCATCAGAACTCCACAATAACAGTCATTTTAGCCTCAGGAATATGACTTACAAACTTATTACAGTGAAATGTATTTAATCTTTCTGGGCAGCTATCCTGTTCACTCTAAGGCATTTTTTTTCTTCATGAGATTTCTGTGGCAAAGAAAACAAGATGACAGAATTACTTTACTTACTATTTCTTCCCCGCTCTTGGCCACACCATATGGCATGCAGATCTTAGTACCATGACCAGGAATCTAACCAATGACCTCTGCAGTGGAAGTGCAGAGTCTTAACCAGGACCACCAGGGAAGTCCCTTTTTTTCTTTTCTTTTTTGTAACTATTTCTTATCTATATTCCTTATCTCTTCAAAAAGATTTGAAAGCATCAAAAGTATATGTAATGAAAAAAAAGTGAGACCTAGATGGGTGGGGTGGGGTAGGAGGTAGAAGGGAGATTCGAGAGGGAGGGAACATATGTATACTTACGGCTGATTCATGCTGTTGTATGGCAAAGACCAACACAATGTTATAAAGCAATTATTCTCCAATTAAAAATAAACAATTTTTTAAAGTGAAGAAATGAATGGAAAGGAAAAATAAGATAGTGTCACAAAGTCTGAACCTTGATGGTAGCCCATCAGCTTTAGAATGTTCTCCCACTTCTAAAAATCACTCAGCATTACTAAGGATTAGTTCCAGTGTAGACAATGCATCAGGATCTTAAGATGGGGTGTCATATTCAGCAATCATGCTTACCTTTCTCTCTCGCCTCTCAGAAAGCTTTTGGAAAACATCTTGGTTTCGTTGTCCAGTTTGCTGATCGATGCAAATCATCTGACATCTGTTACAAGGTCCCAAAACCTGGGCGGTGAGAAGGGAAAAGACAGCACTGTCATGAAACTGACCTGACTGTCCCACTCTGCAGGGAGGAATCTGGGTCCAAGAGGAATGGTTGTAAACAGCCAATTTCAGACTCTCAGAGAAATACTCCAACTGCAAGGAGCCAAGAGTGCCACCCCTTCCCAATGCCCACTAGGGAATCACCCACATGTGTTTGCCAGCTGACAGACCACTGCAGCAGGGTTTTGTAGAAAAAGAAAAGAGTGGTCGTGGCTCGCAGGTGGTTATCAGGGGATGTGGGGCTTCCTCCAGGGAAGACAAGCACTGATGGCAGGACTTTCTGGGAGGAGATGGCCAGCCACACTCCCGGTGCTGCTGTGATGGCCACAGATCACTTGAGACTTGGGCAAATAGCTTGCGCAACCACAGGTGCCCCTGTGAAACACACTGCAGTTTGCACCAAGGCCTGGCATGCCTGTGCGTGGATGCACTCAGCTTTTCTCCTTTGAAGCCAAGTGCATGGCTTCTCATGGTTTGCCTGATCAGTAATCTTGCCATAAAGGTCTTAATTCACATAACTCTCTCATGTTTGAATCTTTTAGGCTAAATCTCTCAAAATGAGGTTATAAAGTCAATACATATAAAGCTCTTATGACTTGATAATACCCAGTGAGAAGCTGCTTCCAAAAGAGATGTGCTGGATTTTTTTGCATTGTAACTGCTTCAGCACTGAGTATTACCACCAATAAACATCTCTTAAGCATTTACTTAAAAATTTTGTTATAACTGGAGTATAGTTGATTTATGATGTTTTGGGTATACAGCAAAGTCATCTGAAAAAAAATAACCCATTGCAGTTTATAAGATTCTGAGTATAGTTTCCTGTGCTACCCAGTAGGTCCTGGTTGTTTATTTTATATATGTCATCGTGTATCCATTAATCCCAGGTTCCTCATTTAGCATTTACTTTTGAAAGACACAGTATTAACTATAGCTTATATTTTTTAATGCCTGCATAGGACAACATTGTATGGATATAGCCTAATTTATTGAATCAACCTCCCTCTTATGAATATTTAGGGTATTCTCCAATTTTTATATTTATAAAGTATTGCAATAAGTAATTTTTAATGTATCTTCACCTATTTGTAAGAGTACTTTTTACGGGATACACTTCTACAAGTAAATTTATTGGGTCAAAGGGCATGTATATTTTGACTTTCATTAATTAATGTTTATTAAGTATCATGACCTAAAGAAATCAAAGCATCTGAGAGAGGTTTTTTAAAGTCTTTCTTGTACTCATGTCCCCAGTATCTTACAACTTACGTGTTACAAAGTAAATTTCTGAGAGTGATCCTAGTCTAGTTGTAGTTCTTTCTCTTTCCTTTTCCTTCTTCCTTTCTTTCTCCCCCCCTCTCTCCATCTACCATACATTTAGTGTTTACTCTGGACCAGGCAGGATAAGTCAGAGCAGATGCTTTTACAGCATTGCCAGCACACAGCAATAGAAAATGAAGAAGAGGAAGTCAGGATGGACAGATGAGGGGAAGGGCATGAAGGCTGGTGCAGAGAGAGGTCTGTGGGAGAGAAGAGAGATCGTTTTTTCAAGGGGGAGCAGCTTCCAGCATAAGAGGAAGTTTGGAGAGGCAAATGGATAGAAAAGCTCTTTGGAGCATTCGTGTGTGCATGTCTTATGTGTGTGTGCCATGCAGTTTATCACTACCCCCACCTGCAGGGCTTGCCAGGTGGCACCAGTGGTAAAGCACCCACCTGCCAATGCAGGTGACATAAGAGACATGGGTTCCATCCCTGGCTGGGGAAGATCCCTTGGAGGAGGGCATGGTAACCCACTCCAGTATTCTTGCCTGGAGAACCCCATGGACAGAGGACCCTGGCGGGCTACAGTCGATGGGGTTGCAAAGAGTCAGACACGACTGAAGCGACTGAGCATGCACAGCATACCCAGCACCTGCAGAACTCTGAAATCTTCCCTTAGAGGTTAAATCACTGTGTACTGCCTTCCTGGAAATTAGAGTGATGTTCTGTGCAGAGGACCCGTCCTTCCATCCCCAGCTCTTCCTTAGCTGTCCGGGCCCTTCATTTTATCAGCAACCATGGTGCACTGACTCTGGTCAGGACTGTTCCAGGCCCTAGACAGACAGTGGGGAATAAACAGACTTGGTCCCACTCTCCTACACTCTTGAGAAGATAAGCATACACTGTGTGGAGCGTGACCCCATGGTGGGTCAGGAACAGTCTTCCCAAGGAGCTAACATCTCAGCTAGACCTGAAGGAGCTGCAGGAGAAGTGCGCCAGGCAGAGGGGACAGCAAGGGCAAAGGTCCTGAGGCAGGAATCTTGGCTTGTTGAGTGGGTGGAGAGAAGGTCCGCACGACAGGCAGAGGAGGAGGGGTGCTGACCTTGGAGAGATGGGAGAGGCCACGGGGCTCAGGTCTCGGGGGCCTTATCCACTCTCGTGAGGAATGTAGATGTCAGCTGAAGACTTCGGGTTTGGGGACCCCAAAGCCTGGGGAGGTAGGGCAACTTGGTGCCTCATCCTTTGACTGCAAGCTCCTCCCCAGCTTCCAGTGAGGCCAGAAGCAAGATCGTGAGAAGTACAGCCGCCCCAGGCACTGAAGGACCATGAAGCATCTGGGACATCCTCCAGGAGCTCCAGACAGCAAATTTCAAGAAGAGGAAGTTCTCACAGACACAAGCATTCCAAGAAATAGCTAGTCTAGATACAGCAACGTGGTCTGTACCTCCATCACCTGTACATTCTCTCTTCTTCATGTGAAACTGCCACCCACTCCCTTGAAGGAAGGATGGATGGATCATTCCAAGGGGTGACCCAGGATGCAGATGTCACATACCCTCCCACTGAGATTTTGTAGGGAAGAGTCAACCCCAAGGGTGGGATTCCCTTCTACCAGCTACTATCCCAGCCAAGGGTTGAGGTCAATACCCACTGACAACCCTTAAGGAAAGATAACAGGACTTCTCAGAACTTACCTGGAAATGCAAGGAACCAACTGAAATTTCATCCCATTTCTCTTCTTCAAAAGCCCTTGTTCCATTGGTAATAATATTGGCACGGAATCGTGAGATGAGATTGTTCATTGGGAATAATTCTTCTTTGCCATTCTCACAGCTATTTAAGACACACCAGAAAGAGAAAAGGTGGGGAGGTATGGATAATTGCACTATTGTAGTAAGTCAACATTTCTGCCATTTCGATGCCTGAGTTCATCAACGGTACTGTGGCCTGAGGCTTAGATGATCAGAACAAGCTTTTATCATGAGTGCAAGGCTAAAAGACACACCTCTGTTGTCGGACCTCCAGGATCTCCCCTGGAATGTGGTCCCACCTCCAATGAAGAGGCTCACAAGAGGCAGCGTGATGGGTGAGTCGATCCTTGCTGACAAGATGAAGAACTTTGGTAACCCAGTGAACAGGGGTAAAGTGGATAAACTTGTGAGAAAATACCAATTCTACAAGGTGAGTCAGGACAAGGCATTTAAAGAATGTCAACAGGCTTAACTACCAAGGACCTAAAAAGTACCAAGAGCTCACACTCTTTTTGGATATTTTTGGATATTAGACCATCATAAAGCTATATAGAGTATATACATGGGAGGTTTTAATATGTATTTTCTATGGAGAACAGATTGGTGGTTACCAGAGGTGAGGGGTGGGGAGAATGGGTGAAGGGAGTCAAAAGGTACAAACTTCCAGTTATAAGCAAGTCATGGGGGTGTAATGTACAGTACGGCAACTATAGTTAATAATAACTGCATTGTCTAAAAAAACACTTATTGCATATTTAAAAGGTGCTAAGAGAATAAAACTTAAAAGTACTCATCACAAGAAAAAATTTTTGCAGCTATGTGTGGTGACAGATGTTAACTAGAATTACTGTGACCATTTCTCAGTATATACAAATATGGGATCGTGTGGTACACCTGAAACTAATATAATGTTGCCTGTCAACTGCACCTCAATTAAAAAACTTTATTTCCTAACTTCCATCCTGTTTGAAGTTTTAACTGCTGCTGCTAAGTCGCTTCAGTCGTGTCTGATTCTGTTCAGCCCCATAGACGGCAGCCCACCAGGGTCCCCCGTCCCTGGGATTCTCCAGGCAAGGACACTGGAGTGGGTTGCCATTTCCTTCTCCAATGCATGAAAGTGAAAAGTGAAAGTGAAGTCGCTCAGTCGTGTCCAACTCTTAGCGACCCCATGGACCGCAGCCTACCAGGCTCCTCCATCCATGGGATTTTCCAGGCAAGAGTACTGGAGTGGGGTGTCATTGCCTTCTCCAGCAGTTTTAACTAGGTGTATGTTATTTATGTAATTTTCCCGTTTAAAATTTTTGTTTACTACCATGAATGAATGAATGACGTTCGCTCAGTCATGTCTGACTCTTTGCGACCCCGTGGACTATACAGTCCATGGAATTCTCCAGGCCAGAATACTGGAGTGGGCAGCCTTTCCCTTCTCCACAGGTACCATGAAGAGGCTCCCTGTACCTCCATGCATCCCATCCCTAAGGTAAAAAAGCACTGAAAAAGCATCTGAAAACTTCAGCAGACAAGCACACAATATAAGCCCATTAAGTTGAGTTCAACCTTTTTGGCACCAGGGACTGGTTGCATGGAAGACAATTTTTCCTGGATGAGGGTTGGTGGGGGGATGGCTTCAGGGTGATTCAAATGCGTCACATTTATTGTGCACTTTATTACTATTACATCAGCTCCACATCAGATCATCAGGCACGAGACCCTGGAGGCTGGGGACCCATGTTCTAGAATGAAAGATGCCATACTGGTGATGTTCCATGGGGTTGACTGAGAGGGGCATGAGGAAGGGGTCTGGTGCACTAGAAATGTTCACTGCTTGATCTGGGCGGTGGCTCCATGGGTATATAGACATCTGTAAACATTCACTGAACTATGTACTTATGATTTTTGCACTTCATTGCACATTAATAAAACTTTTAAGCTTCAGGGGAAATCCTTGAGCATATTGGAGTCTGCCTGGAGATAGAACTGAAAGACTCTGGGGGGGAGAAAGGGGTCCGTGTCTGTATGCCAATCCCCTCCAAACAGTGGACAGCCAGAAGAAGCCAGGGACCAGAATAACCAAGTCCAGCTTTGCACTATGTGCAATTCCCAGGACCAGTGACAACCGCAAGGTCCCTGTGGGAAAGGAGAGTGTTAGCAAGTCCCAGTCCTAATATCCTTTGATTCTGAATTTATCCTCCAGGTGATAAACCTCCCTTGTGCTTTATAAAAGGGAAAGTTTTATGTCTAAAAGCTATCAGCATCAGTATGTATACAAGAGCATCCATCAAATTCGAAAACAGAACCACGGATGCTCACCATGTACTAACCACAGGCTGTTTCTTTTATCTTTGATCACCTGTCCTTCCTGCCCCCCACCCCTTGTCAGCTTTTCACTAAACCAGCTGATAGGAACCAGAGCTGCATCAAGCCACGTCTTCTTCCACATCAAGAATTCCAATAAACCACAAACTTGATCCCTCCAAGGCTCTGAGCACCTAAGAATGAAGGTCACTCAGTGCTGGGAAAACTCAGTGAACACCCAGGGACCACACATCACGTTTCTGCCCCCAAAACAGGGCAAGCTAGACCTTAGCAAGGGAACACCATTGTCTGTTTTTGCAGATGATGATAAACAGGAATTGGGAAGCCCATGTGACGCAGTGGTAAAGAATCCGCCTGCCAGTGCAGGAGACACAAGAGATGCAGGTTTGATCCCTGGGTCAGGAAGATCCCCTGAAGTAGGAAATAGCAACCCACTCCAGTATTCTTGCCTGAAAAATTCCACAGACATAGGAGCCTGGTGGACTGCAGTCCATAGGAGTCACGAAGAGTCAGACACAACTGAGCGACTGAGCACACACATAAACAGGAACTACTACAAAAGTCCATCTTTGTTGTTCTTATTAAGCTACATTTGTACATGTTTGTGTGTGTGCACACAGGTGCCGAGGACCACACGGCACGTGGGAGTCACAGGAGCCTGGCTCAGGGCACAGACAGGTGTAGACAAATGAGCCGCCTGTCGCTTACATAATAGCTTACATAATAGCTTTTTTTGTCCCAGTGGTCTGATTATCTTGGGATTTCAATTTCCTCTTTGGAACAGTGAGGGGGCTTGAACCACCCAAGACCCTTTCTGGAGCAGACTTTTCCAGAGTCTTTGGGAGATCTCTGGGTGGGAGTGAGCAGGCAAGGGTGCTAGTTCTCTATGATGATACAAATGATATCTATAGTTATAACTTGAAAAGCATAACTGCTATTTTCACTCAAAATAACTGTGGAAGTAGAACAAGGCTCCTGGGGCCAGGGAACAGTGGGAGGGTGGGCAAAACAGCTATGTCAAATTGCTGACAATTCCATTCATTAAAGCAAATGTTAAAAACTGAAATGATTAGACAATAAGAGTTGGGATTCTCCACTAAGCAACTTGAAGGCGTCAAGAAGGACACTGGAAGATAAAAAAGAACCCTCTAAAAGATTAAGGTAAACTGGCCTAAAAAGTTTTGTGATTTCTATGGACCTTGGGTTCTCAATGAAGGGTCTGGACTCAAGATTCTCAGAATTTTTCTCCCTGGGCAGGTGACTGGCTCACTCCCAGGGGCAAGTGGCTACACCTGTCTGCTATTCCGAAAGTGTTAGTCACTCAGTCATGTCCAATCTTTGTGAACTTATGGACTGTACCTTGCCAGGCTTCTCTGTACATGGAATTCTCCAGGCAAGAATACTGGAGGGGGTAGCCATTCCCTTCTCCAGGGGATCTTCCCAACCCAGGGTCTGGGTCTCCTGCATTGCAGGTAGATTCTTTTCCAAGGCAAATAGCAAATAGTAAAGGAATCTTACCTTGTGCTTAATTGCTGCTGAAGTTCCAAAATACTGGATCTGTTTATCAGCAGATATTGTGCCTCATTCACCAGAGAAAGGGTGGCTGTTGTATGAGCAGACTGATCTAAAAAGGATGGAGTATTTAAAAGAAGGGCTGCTGGACAGGGAAACAACTAGTATCCACTGATGGGTAAACAGATGAGGAAAATGTGGTACACATGCACAATGGAATATTATTCAGCCATTAAAAATGAAATCTTGCCATTTGCAATAACATGGAAAGACCTTAAGGGCATTATGCTAAATGAAATAAGTCAGAGAAAGATAAGTTCTGTATGATCTCACTTATAGGTGGAATCTAAAAAAAACTAACAATAACAACAACAACAAAAAAAAACCACCAAAAAAGAAGCAAACAAAACACAACAAAACAAGCTTATAGAGCAGATCGGTGGTTTCCAAAGGCACGGGGTGGGATGGGCGATATGGGTGAAGGGGATCAAAAGGTACAAACATCCAAGCACAAAATATATAAGTCTTGGGGAAGGTAATGTATACTGTGGCAACTATAGTTAATAAAACTGTATTGCCTATTTGAAAGCTGCTAGGAGAGTAAATCTTAAAAGTTGTCATCAAAAGAAAAAAAAAATGTAACTATGTATGGTGACTGATGTTACCTAGACTTGTGATGATCACTTTGCAATACAGACAAATATCAAATTATGTCATATACCTGCAACTAATATAATGTTTTATGTCAATAATACTAAATTCAAAAATTTAAATTAAATAAATTTTAAAAGAAGAGTTGCTTTCTTGGAATGCAAATGAATTGTGGTTCTATTGACTTGCATTTTTAAATAATACAGATTATTTCTACAAGGGAAAAATTGGTGCCTGTGGGAATAATAAAAATGTTCTAAGCATAATTCAAACAGAAAGAAAATTAGCTCCTAGAAGATTCTGTTACTAATCTAGAAAAAAATAATAAAATGCTGATGTTAAATTGTTCCAGCAAAGGAGACTTGGAGGCAACATTTCGAGAAGAGATGGAGCTGTGGGGAAGTAGCGGGGCTCTTCCCCAAGAAAGAAGAAGGACCTTGATGAGGGTCCTGGGTCCAGGATGATCTGTATCTAGTCAGGGAGTCTAGTTAAGGAAAAGCTGGGTTTTGCTCTTTGCAAAGTTTGTAATATTGACTTTGCTGTTATTCAGTCACTAAGTTGCATCCAATCCTTTGTGACCCCAAGGACTATAGCCTGCCAGGCTCCTCTGTCCCTGGGATTTTCCAGGAAAGAATACTGGAGTGGGTTGCCATCTCATTCTTCAGGGGACCTTCCTGGACCAGGGATCAAACCTGCGTCCACTGCATTGGCAGGTGGATTCTTTACCACTGAGGCACTAGGGAAGCCCAATATTGACCTTAGATATATATAAATAAGACAAGTTTTAAAACTACAGAAATTTTTTTTTTGAAAAAGGAGTGGAAGAAAATATCAAAGCCATGCAGAACTGCCTCAACCTGTCTTCCAGCTTTGATCGGCCACTTGTTGGGTGCACCATAGCTGTCATTATACAAGATGTTGATATGAAAGTGTTGCCTGGACCAAAACCTAGAGAGCTGTTTCAGATTCAGGCCTGTGGACGCCAGATTACCAAAGAATGGATAGTGCCAAGAGAATCGCTTACAGGTTCTCTACCTCCATGGCTTATTTGCTAGAACAGCTCATCAAGGCAGTGAGGTGTCCACAAAAGGCCCTTCTCACCCTTCACTGGGAAAGACTGCACCTTTCCTGTGGCATATTGGCCCTGGGGCTAAAAATCTCCTGGGTGGAAAACAAAAGCTCCATTCACAGCCCTGGAGTCTGTGCTGAGAAAATAAAAGTCTCTCAAGTGTGGGTGAATGATTCTCCTGTAGGTCAGATGACTTCCAATTCTTTGCTAACCACAAGACTGCCGGAACTAATTAAGCTGTCAAGTGACAGATGATTAAGATCATCTGATCTTAATGATGATCAGATCATTAACATCAGATCATCTGATGTTAGATCCCTGTGCCTCAGAAGAAAGGTTTGAGTGACAGCGCACTAACCAGATTCCATCATCCCCAACTCTTTTTTTTTTTCCATTTATTTTTATTAGTTGGAGGCTAATTACTTTACAATATTGTAGCGTTTTTTGCCATACATTGACATGAATCAGCCATGGATTTACATGTGTTCCCCATCCTGAACCCCCCTCCCACCTCCCATCCCCAACTCTTTATTGATTTAAATAAGATTCTTTAGAAGAGAACCAATGCCCAGCACCAGCTATTCCAATCATAGATGATAGCTGTTCATGGACATGGGAATTAATCATGGGCAGTCAGTCATCTCATTAAGAGATTTATTTTCCACTATTTTTTCTCTTTATGTTTAATAGTTATTTTTCAAATTTTATAATGTACTTTTTATTGCTTTGATCAACTGTGTTGATTTTTTTTTAAATTACTAAAAATCATGATAAGAACTCAACCTGGAAAAAAATGTCTTAACACTGAGACTCTACAATCACAGTAAACTTTAAAAAATTTTATGCATTTCAATTCATATATAATTTTAGTTTCAGGTAAATATGATAGGGTGATCAAGGAAAGATTTTTCAAACCTAAAATATATAATACTAAGATAAAAATTCCATCAAGGAAGTGGAATGGCAATCCAAGTTGGAGAAAGAAAAGGAAAGAAAGATAATTTCTGTACATTAAAAATAGTCTTTCAGGATTTCCCTGCTGATCCATTGGTTAAGAATGCATACTTCCACTGCTGGGGGTATGGATTAGATCCCTAGTTGTGGAACTAAGATCCTGCATGCCTCGAGGTGGGGTCAAAAAAAAAAACCCAAAAAACAAAAAAAATAGTTTGTCCATATACATATTTTTAAATGAATACTCATAAGAATCAAATTATTATGATAATGAGATTCCACTGGCTTATATTTAAAAGGACAAAATATGCGTTTTCATTTTAATGACTACAAGTGCACTTTGTTTTGTGTTTCCCAGGCGGCACTAGTGGTAAAGAACCCACCTGCCAATGCAGCAGACGTAAAAGGACACAGGTTCGATTCTTGGATCTGGAAGATCCTCTGGAGGAGGACATGGCAGCCCACTCCAATATTCTCGCCTGGAGAATCCCACGGACAGAGGAGCCTGGCGGGCTGCAGTCCATGGGGTTGCAAAGAGTCGGACACAACTGAAGCAACTTAGCTCACAGCATGCACAAACTTCGTTTTATTGAATTCCACCTTAATCGAACCTCACAGGTACCATGCAGGTATTATACTTTTTATAAATCGAAGGTCTGTGGCCACCCTGCATCGAGCAAGTTTATTGCACCGTTTTCCCAACAGCACCAACAGCTTTTGCTCACTTCCTGTCTCTGTGTTCCATTTTGGTAGTTCTCGCAATGTTTCAATCTTTCTCATTATTATATTAGTTATGGTGATCTGTGATGTTACTATATGATCTATGTTCCTAGGTTATGTGATCTTTGATAATACTATGACTTGCTGAAGGCTAAAGTATTTTTAATTAAGGTATGTACACTTATTTTTAGACTTAATGCTATTATATACTTAATAGATTATGGTAGAATATAACATAACTTTTATATGCACTGGAAAACCAAAAAAATGTGTGACTTGCTTTTGTGGTGGTCTGAAACTGAACCCACAATATTTCCAAGGTAAGCCTATATATATGCAATATGCTGGAAATCACATCCCTTGCAACTGCTTAAACTACTTTTAAAAAATTTAGCTGACAATGCAAAGAGGTAGTGTAGTTTAAAAAATTTAAGTGTTCAAAGACCTAGACTCAGACCATCAGAGACCACACCACCATAAATGGCATCCTTGAAGTATAATGTTCACAAGCTGACACTCCCTGATCTTGTAGCGAGCAGGCAACAGATTCACTCTGCTGCCCCCTTCACCTGCCCAGTTTCCATCTCCCATCAGGACAGTCAGAGCCTGCCTGACCTCTTTGCTTCCTTCTCTCTCTCCATTGCAGCCTCCACACCTTACCAGGGCTGTCTTTCTGACACAAGCAGCATCATGAAACTCCCCAGCATAGAATTCTTCAATGAGTCTCCCACCCACAAGATAGTGCTTCTGACTCAGCAACACGTTCATCTCATCTCCCCAGCTCTACCCCCATCACCCCCCTACCCACATCCCACCCTCCTAAACCCTTCCCTGAGCCCATGAAATGCCAAGCCCTGCCAGTAGTCTTCAGCAGTCTTCTTGCCTCTCTCTGCCTGGAATATTCCTACTCTCCTGTTAAAATGTAGCTCCAAACTCACCTCTTCCCTGAAGCCCTCCAAGACTCATTCCAGGTGTAGACTTACAAGCCAGTCTCCCTGAGAGCTAGTGACTAAGCCAGGTCATTCCTGCCCAAATCAGGAATGCAGCAACTATCCAGTCCATTGATTTAGTCATCTAGTATTTACTGAGCAACTACTATGTGTCAGGTTTGTTCTAAACGCTGAGGTCAAAGCACTGAACAAAGCAGAGAAAAATCCTTCCCTCACAGAGTTTATGATCTAGCAGAGGGAAGGCAGAACATAAACAGGAAAACTGAGTAAAATGTTTGCCTTACAGGATGTGAAACGTGCCAGAGGGACCTCCCTGGTGATCCAGTGATTAAGACTTCACGCTGCCAGTCCAAGGGGTAAAGGCTCAATCTCTGGTCAGGGAACTAAGATCCCACATGATCTGTGGCATGACCAAAAGATTAAAAAAAAAAAAAAAGAGCCACAGAGGGGATAAAACAGGGAATGAGCTAGGAGGTTCAAGAGGGGGCTCTAGTTCATAGGAGGGCAGTCAGGCAAGGGTCCCCTGAGAAGGCGACATTGGAACAGACACCTTGAAAGCTCACTCTTCGCATATGGTACTATGACCTCAAAGTACTTTCTTCTCTAAAGTCTCATTTTATGCTCACAACAGCTTACGGCAGGAAAAGCTGTCAAAACCCTTAAATCTGAGTAACTGAGGTCTGCAGAATTTCAACACCATGAGGTTCAAGGATTTGCGAAGGTCTCCCAATCACTTGGTGTCAGGGCCAAGACTAGAAATCCAGATTTTCTAAGGATCTAGCAAGCTACCAATATTTTTATTTTAAAAAAAACAAAACTAACCCATGTTTCTAAACATGCAGGACTTAGGCAGAGAGCTTGAGCGGAGCCTGCAAGCCCACCTCAGTCTCCTCAGGGTCAGTCTGAAGACCACGCATGGGTCCTGCTGACCTGCGGGGTCACCTCGGCACCTGCCTGCCAAAGACCTACCACCCCCATTTCATGAGCAGATTACCCTGTCAACCCATTTTGTGGGCTGATATTCATGCCTGCAAGTGTGAGTTCAAGTTCCTGTCCCCTAAGAAGCAATCCAAAGTGTAATACCTTTGCCGTGTTTCTTCTTTGCATTTCTTTGAAAGTCTGAACTTTGTTTGATCAAATGATAGGGACGGCCAAAAAACTTTGACAGCCAGTTGGAAATTTTTTCTCCACAATCATATGTGTTTACCCTGACAAAAAAGAAAAAGGAACGATGGTGAACGTTATATAGTATTCCTTTAAGTAATTGAAATAGAAAAATGTTATATAGTATAATATAAAAGAATATAGTAGAGTATAATGAAGTCCCCAGCAATATAGATACCCAAAGTGACAGATGTGCTTAGGAAGCTGCAGAGAAATTTCCAAGGCATGGGAAGGCCTGAGATTTGTGCCTTTTACAAAGTTTTCAGATCAAATTAAAAGCTTTAGAAATTTCTCTTTCTACCTCTCCTTTTACCTAAATCTAATCTCAACCAGAAAACATGTGGAATACAAATGTTCTGATTGTGGGTCCTGATCTTATGGTACCTAGCCCATCTAACACCCCAACCAATTAAAGGCCCAAACACAAAAATTATTAACTTCACAGTTCACCAGTGATTCATATACTAGTAGAAGACTTTTAAATTGCCAATGGCTTTTAGTGAACACAGTAAAGCAGTCAGTGGGTACAGTTGTGTTCAGAAATCATGATATGCACAGTGCTGATCAGAGTGCATTTCCTTCTGCACTGCGAACAAGTAAGCCATGAAGGGATGTGTCAAACACTTAAGCTACACACATCCAAACTGGACTCAAGCTGTTAGCACCTCTGGAAGTACATGCTCAGGAAAGGTGGGAAGGTGATAGTGTGAGGATGGTGCTCTACCCAATTGGGCATCGTGGGCCCTGGCCGTGCTGGAGGCCCATGGGGTGAGCACACTCTGCACACTCTTGCCAGTTCTTGTGCAGATTTAAACACTCATCAAAGCACATTTTCAATCAGAGTAATGAATTTTGGGTGAATATTTTGGAAATGTACTATAGCAAATCTTCCATGGACAGATATACAGCCATTTCAGGGTGAAAGTGAAGTGGAAGTGAAAGCATTAGTCACTCTGTCATATCTGACTCAAGACCCAGTGGACTGTAGCCCACCAGGCTCCTTTGTCCATGGAATTCTCCAGGGAAGAATACTGAGTGGGTTGCCATTCCCTTCTCCAGGGGATCTTCCTGACCCAGGGATTGAGCTCACAACTCTTGTACTACAAAGCAGATTCTTTACCGTCTGAGTCTGCAATTATTTATCCCTGGTTTCATGTAGCTGCATCTGAGAGGACTGGCATTTTCTGGTTAATAAAGCCTTTTGGATAGCGTGAGCTCAGGTTTCTTATACTGGGAACCATGAGTGCTTGATATAATGAAAATGGCCTTAAGTGCATCTTTCAAAGCACCAGAGAGAATGTCTACAAAGTGAGGTTTCGTTCTTCCCTTCCCTGAGAGTTTCACCTGCCACAGCCTCACCTGTCCGCACAGACTTTGCTTTGGCAAATCTGAACCTGCTCACTGTTCTCCTCAAGAGGCACCTCTATAGGCTCCATCCCTAATGAACAAAGGTTAGAGACAAATTTATCATCATGCAAAAAAGAACAAGTATATGTTTTTAAAGTCCATTATTCTGAAATATACAAGAATTAATGAGCTGGGCAATTGGTTGAATCAAATAAGTGGCTGGGTCTTAGAAATCTCTTTTTAACACAGAGATTCTCTTCATCACTGTTAGCACCAACAACAGCAGGTGTACTAAGCAGCTTTCTTGTGGGAGGCCCTGCACTGGGGCAGTCACATCCATAGTCCCTGCGATGCTATAAATTCCTCTGAAAGATGTCTCTCCCTCTGGATGACTCCACATCCTGACGTCATTGCTCTCTAAGCTACCTAGATCTTCTAGAAATAGACAGGCCGGCATGAAGGCTCGCTCTGAAAGGATGCCAGCATAGAGTGTCAATTCTCCTAGCTCCTAGGAGTCAGCATCAAATTGGATTCCTGAATCAATCATCATTAGCGCTAAAAAAAAAAAAATCTGTTACCATATCAGTGGAGTTGGGAAGTGATTCTTTTCTAAAAGTTTTTATATACATTATACATACAAAGGAGCATATAGCATATGTATATAAACTTAGAATAAAACATGTGGAAGAGACTAGAGGAAATTGATCCAAGGCCACTGAAGAGTATAAGATTGTTGATAAAGGTTGGGACAGCTGAGACATGCTGCCACTCTGCATGCCTTCTGATCCTTCACGAGTCATTAAAAATACAGGGAAAGGCATGAAGCCAAGACGCCTGAGTAGAATTCGTGGTGGCCCTTCTCTGTGGATGCCTCCTCTGTGGCCCACCTTGCCATCCAACCATGCAGATTCATGCTGATGTTTGGTAGGAAGCAACACAATACTGTAAAGCAATTATCCTTCAATTAAAAATAAGTAAATTTTGAAAAATTTACACATAAATTGTTCATAGCAGCATTATTCATCATAACCACAAGTGGAAACAATCTAAATATCCATCAACTGATAAGTGGATAAAAAAAATAAGTATGTCTAATTATTGAACAGTATGATGACACTTAAAAACATTATGCTAAGTGAAAGAAGCCAGTCACATATTGTATGATCTGAATTACATGAAACATCCAGAACAGGCAAATCCATAGAGACAAAAAGTAGATTAGTAGTGCCAGGGACTGGGGATGAGGTCAGGAATGGGGAGTGACTCCTAGTGGGTATGGGCTTTCTCATTTAGGGTGATGAAAAAGCATTCTAAAATTTATTGGTGATGATTATGAATATACAAGAATAATAATAATTGAATGGTACAGTTTAAATGAATACATTTTGTGGAATGTTATATAAATATTGATCAGGCTAAAAGAAATAAATAAAAAGGTGGAAAATGATATACTATTCAAACACTAACCAAAACAGGGCTGAATAGCTGGATTTGTAACAGACAAGAATTTCACACTTCAAACTTTGGAACAAAGAAAATTATGATATATAAAGAGGAACGTTGTTTAAAGAGAGACCAGTTCACCAAGAAGTCAATAATACTATGTGAAGCAAAAACTAACGAAACTAAGGAGAAAGCAGACAAATCTACAATTACAGATGAAAACTTCAACACTCTTCTTTCAGTCATTAACAGAACTAGTAGCAAGTGCATAAAAAGCCAGGAGGTATATAGAAAAACAGCAATACTGATCAACAAAGTGGATATAACTGACATCTATAGAACACTCCACCCAACAACAGAATACGCATTCCTCTCAAGTGTATATGGAACACTCAAGGCAATAAATCACATTCTTGGTTATAAGCTAAAACTTAACAAATTTTAATGAATTTAAAATCTACAAAGTAAATACTCTCTTTTGGAGAGTTTAATGGAATTAAACTAAAAATCAATAACAGTGAAAACATCTCCAAATATATCGAAATAAACACACTTCTGTAATCTATGGGTCAAAATGAACATACAGAGAGCAAGTAAGGACATCAAAAGATGCTTAACATCATTAGTCGGTAGGGAAACCAATTAAAATCATGATGGGATGCCATACACACCTATTAAAATAAATAAAACAAGAACACTGACAAAAACTGACCAGATGTGGAGCAACTAGAACTTGCATACATTACTGGTAGAAATGAAAACAATACATTCCAGAAAATGGTCTGGAAGTTTCTTTTAAAGGTAAATTATCAAAAAAAAATTAATAAATAAAGGTAAATTATCCTTACTATATGACCCTGCAATCAACTCCTAGTATTTATTCTAAAGAAATGAAAATTTCTGAGCACCCAAAAACCTGTACATGAATGATAAAAGCAGCTCTAGTCATAATTGCTTAAAACTAGAAATGACTCAAATGCCCTTCAGTAGATAAAAGGAGGACACACCACACTCTGGAATGTCCATACAATGGAATACTACTCAATAATAAAAAAGAATAAACTACTGATTCATGCAGTAACTTAGATGGGACTTAAAGGCATCATGCTGAGTGAAAGAAGCCAATATCAAAAAGTCACAGATTACGTGATTACATTTATATTACATCCTCAAAAAAACTAAGAGTGATAATTTTTAAAGGGTATATTTAAAAAAAAAACCCATAGTGATAGAGCTTTGACTGCCAGGTGTTAAGGATGGGGAAAAGAGAGACTGAAAAGGGATAGCGTGAAGGAATTTTCTGGGGCTTTGTTTCTTGTTTTGTATCTCGTTTATGGGAGTGGCTATACAATTGTGTGCATGTGTTAAAATTCATACAGAGAACAAAAGGCCAAGAATAGCCAAGACAATTTGGAAGCATGAGGTAGGTCAAGTCCTATCAGTTCTTGCTGTTGTTGTTCAGTCTCTCAGTCATGTCCAACTCTCTGTGACCCCATGGACTGCAGCACACCAGGCTTCCCTGTCTTTTACCATGTCCATCGAGTCAGTGATGCTATCCAACCATCTCATCCTCTGTAATCCCCATCTCCTCCTGCCCTCAGTCTTTCCCAGCATCCAGGTCTTTTCCAATGAATCGGCTCTTCCCATCAGGTCACCAAAGTACCGGAGCTTCAGCTTCAGCATCAGTATTTCCAGTGAATATTCAGGACTGATTTCCTTTAGGATTGACTGGTTTGATCTCCTTGCTGTCCAAGGGACTCTCAAGAGTCTTCCCCAAAACCACAGTTCAAATGCCTCAATTCCTAGGCACTCATCCTTCTTTATGGTCCAACCCTCACACCTGTACATGACTAATGGAAAAACCATAGCTTTGACTATATGGACCTTCGTCAGCAAAGTAATGTTTCTGCTTTTTAATATTCTGTCTAGATTTGTCATAGCTTTTCTTCCAAGGAGCAAGCATCTTTCAATTTCATGGCTGCAGTCACCATCTGCAGTGATTTTGGAGCCCAAGAAAATGAAATCTGTCACTGTTTCCATTTTTCCTCATCAATTTGTCATGAAGTGATGGGACCAGATGCCATGATCTTAGTTTTATGAATGCTGAGTTTTAAGTCAGCTTTTTTGCTCTCCTGTTTCACTTTCATCAAGAGGCTCTTTAGTTCTTCTTCACTTTCTGCCATTAGGGTAGTATCATCTGCATATCTGAGGTTATCAATATTTCCCTTGGCAAGCTTGATTCCAGTTTGAGCTTCATCCAGTCTGGCATTTCGCATGATGTACTCTGCATGTAAGTTAAATAAGCAAGGTGACAATAGACAGCCTTAACATACTCCTTCTCCAATTTTGAACCTGTCTGTTATTCCATGTCTGGTTCTAACTGTTGCTTCTTGACCTGCATACAAGTGTCTCAGGAGGCAGGTAAGGTGATCTGGTATTCCCATCTCTTGAAAAACTTACCAAAGTTTGTTGTGATTCACACAGTCAAAGGCTTTAGAATAGTCAATGAAGCAGAAGTAGATTATCAGCTATTAAGATTCAGTATATAGTTCTAGTAGTAACACTGGCTCATTGGTTCAAGAAAAAATAAACCAATGGAACAGAATCGAACACCTACAGCCAAGAAACACAATCACTGAATATATGGAAATGGGATATATCACAAAAGTATAGCTATAAGTTAGGAGGGAAACTGGAATATCCTGTATATGGTAGGTGGGGTGCAGAAGAAAGAGTGCACAGATAAGTACATAGGGAATTTCATCTATATCTGTAATGTTTTTATTTCTTTAAAGAAGGAGGAGGAGAAAGAGGATGTGGCAAAGGGAGAAAGGAGGTGGGTATTAAGAGGGGAGAGGTGGGGGAGGAGGATGGAGAGGAGGAGGAGAAATTGAAGCAAATGTGGCCAAATGCTAAGTTTGTTAAAACAGGATGATGTAAGTATGCATTATGTTGTTCTTCACATTTGTGCTATCCAATGCTGTAGCCACTACATGTAATAATTTAAATTAATTAAAATTAAATAAAATTTAAAGTTTAGCTCCAGCATCCTGCTAGTCCCATTACACATACTCAGTGGCCACATCAGATTGATGGCTACCAAACAGCACAATGAAGATGTTGAACATTTCCATCATCACAGAAGGGTCCACTGGACAGAGCTGGTCTACATTCATATGTGTTAAGACAGTTCCTAATAAAAATCCACAAAGAAGAATTAAAGCTTGCAGAACCTATGAAGAGTGAAGGAAATAAAACTAATGTAAATGAAAGGAAAACATAAAATTTCAAAATCGACACCTCTTTACTTTCAGGTTGGGTTATCAGATCTTTACCTTTTCCCAGAAATACCCTCCACACACAGACAAAACAAAAAACACAAGAGGAACAAACTTCCTGTTGTCTCTTCTAGACATCATTTCACTTGCTTTTGGAATATTTTAGTATTTAGTAGAAGAAAAGCCGTGGTTTTACTTTACAAGAATAAAGCTACTCTGGACAACCACTCTGTAAAAGTGAACCCCGTTTTCAGACCTTGGGCTTTGATGACCATGACCCTCCGCTGCAGGTCAATGAAGGGCTGGATCAGGCAGAGCCGGGGCTCCTGCTTCTGACTCAGGCAAATGCCGTTGTGATTCACAACCATCCAGCTTCGGTCATACAGCAGCCCTTGACTTCCTAGAGGCCACCTGGTCACCTAAAAAAAAAAAGTCAGTGTATTTTAAGCCAGCGCTCCTCAAAAATGGTCTTCTCACTTATTGTACATGGGCTGCACAGATGCAGATGGACTTCAGGAATTCAGCACAGACTCTTGAAGGAAGAAAGTGTGGAAGAAAAGGAAACAAAGAAGACAGGGACTTTCCTGGTGGCCTTGTGATTAAGAATCCAGCCCGAAATGCAAGAGATGCAGGTACGGTCCCTGGTCAAGGAACTAAGATCCTATGTGCCTCAGAGTGGGTAAGTCCTCAAACCTCAAATACTGAGCCCTCACTCTGGAGCCTTCATGCCGCAACTAGAATGCCTGTGAGCCGCAATTACTGAGCCTGAGTGCCTGCCAGGGGTAGAGAGTCCGTGTGTGTGTGCTCAGGCATGTCCAACTCTTCAAGACCCCATGGACTGTAACCCGCCAGGCTGCTCTATCCACAGAATTCCCCAGGCAAGAACACTGGAGTGGGTTGACATTTCCTTCCCCGAGGGATCTTCCCGATGCAGGGATCGAACCTGCATCTCTTGTGTCTCCTGCATTGGCAGGCAGATTCTTTACCACTGGAACCACCTGGGAAGCCCATGTGCTGCAACTGAAGATGCCACATCACACAGCAGAGACCTCGTGTGCCTCAACTACAACCTGACGCAGCCAAATGAATGAATGTTTAAAAAGAAGAAGACAATGCAAAGGAGACTATGGGATCAAGGTACCTTCCATTTACCCTCCAGATCCAGTCTCCATCCTGTCCACTTCAGCGTGCTTTTTGAGAGGGCAACAGGTGTGCCTAGCCGGGCCGTGGAGAGCAGGTCTCTGCCCCAGCCTGTGCTCCACTTCCCTCCTCACAGGTCTCTGCTGCTCCTGCTGTGTGTCCTTCCACAGTGGTGGACGCCTGAACAGGCATGTCCTGGTAATATAGACATGTTTCTTGCACAAATTGTGGCTCCACTGAAATGGTCACTAAGCTGATGCATTTTAAGTGTATAAAATATGTATATTCCTCAATTCTTCATATTTCTACAAAATTAAAATACAAATTATGCCCAGTGCCCAGATCGTGCACTTAGTACCATTCTCCAATAAAAACAACCAGGACTTCTTGGAGAAATGGTTTATTCTAGGGTTGGGTCAGGAAATATACAAGATGAGCCAGGAGTACTTTGTAGTGCTGGAAAAGTAAGGAAGTGCTCAAAAAACAAAATAATGGGGGTACATCAAAGGAATGCAGGACATGTCCAGTGGGGGGGGGGAGCAGAAACACTTGAACAACAACAATAATAATAATAATGTAATATTGGATTGGGCTTCCCTGGTGACTTCTGTCGACAATACAGGAGACCAGGGTTCAATCCCTGGGTCGGAAAGATCCCCTGGAGAAGGGAACAGCAACCCATTCCAGTATTCCTTCCTGGAGAATTCCATGGACAGAGGAGCCTGGCAGGCTACAGTCCACAGGGTCACAAAGCCTCAGACACAACAGCAACTAACACATATATACACAGTATTGGATTATAATCTAAAATATAAAATAAACACCCATGAGTCCATACTGATATAAATAAATGAATAGGAAGGTCAACTCTCTCATATAGAAGAATTCCAAATTATTGATGTAAATGGCCCCCTCTCAAGAAGGTAGAGTGTAACTCCTTACCCATTAAGTGTGGGCTACTCTTAGTCACTTGCCTCTAAAGGGTACAGTATGGGAATGGGTGGAGGGAGAACTGTACAGTGAAGAAATCTGGCAAACACTATGAGACCCAGGTTAACATCAGTAGTGATAAGTCACAATGGTAACTATGTACCCTGACACGATACGATGAGAACTTTATCTCTGTGGTCCTCCTGCCATAAAACCCCAAACCCCAGTCTAATCCTCAGAAAGACATCAGATAAAAACAAACTCATGGGTATTCTAACAAATATTTAATCAGGATTCCTTAAAACAATCAAGGTTCTGAAAACAGGGAAAGTCTAAGAAACTGGTACAGCCCCAGAGGAGCCTAAGGAACACGAGAGCTAAACGTAACGTGGTGTTCTGGATGGGATCCAGAACATAAAAAGCACATTGGGGGGAAAATAATGAGATATCAATAGTGTGGCACCAGGTCTCTGCAGTTTTGTCCACAGGTTAAACCCACCGCTTTCAGCACTGCCTGTGCAGAAGTCCCACCCAGCAGCTCTTCTGGAGCCAGCTGTTTGTTAAAGAAGGGTGCACACCAACCACTGCTTTTGAAATAGTATTATGATTAAGAGACCAGGGAACCCTCTTACACTGTTGGTGGGAATGCAAACTGGTACAGCCGCTATGGAAAACAGTGTGGAGATTTCTTAAAAAACTGGAAATAGAACTGCCATATGATCCAGCAATCCCACTCCTGGGCATACACACCGAGGAAACCAGATCTGAAAGAGACACATGCACCCCAATGTTCATCGCAGCACTGTTTATAATAGCCAGGACATGGAAGCAACCTAGATGCCCATCAGCAGACAAATGGATGAGGAAGCTGTGGTACATATACACTATGGAATATTACTCAGCCGTTAAAAAGAATTCATTTGAATCAGTTCTAATGAGATGGATGAAACTGGAGCCCATTATACAGAGTGAAGTAAGCCAGAAAGATAAAGACCATTACAGCATACTAACACATATATATATGGAATTTAGAAAGATGGTAATGATAACCCTATATGCAAAACAGAAAAAGAGACACAGATGTACAGAACAGACTTTTGGACTCTGTGGGAGAAGGCGAGGGTGGGATGTTTTGAAAGAACAGCATGTATATTATCTATAGTGAAACAGATCACCAGCCCAGGTTGGATGCATGAGACAAGTGCTCGGGCCTGGTACATGGGAAGACCCAGAGGGATGGGGTGGGGAGGGAGGTGGGAGGGGGGATCGGGATGGGGAATCCATGTAAATCCATGGCTGATTCATGTTAATGTATGGCAAAACCCACTACAATATTGTAAAGTAATTAGCCTCCAACTAATTAAAATAAATGGGGGAAAAAAAAAAGAGAGACCAGCATTCTTGCACAACTGTGCAAGAATCAACCTCACCCTTCTGTTTTCCTCTGAGCACTCAAGTCAACCACCCAAAGGAGTCTGAAAACTTCAACCGGGGGTAATGAAAAAAGGGAAGAATATTTAATCAGGGGCAGTTTGGGGTGGGTCCTCGAGGGAGGGACCTGAGTTGAAGACAGAGGCTTCAGGGGAAGGAAGTGAAGGAGAGGAGCTTCAGGCCTGGTGTGAGCGGGACGCAGATCTCAAGGAGGGAAAATGTGAAGGGAAACTGCTCCTCTAGCCGGGGAAGGCCTGTACCCAAGAAGCAGAAACGTGCTGCAGCGGGGGGTGGGTGGGGTAGGCACTTTGAGGGCTGACAAGCCTGGGCTTAGATCTCACCTCCTTCAGTTATCAGCTTTGGACAACTTCCCACCTTCCTGAGCCTTGGCTCTGTCACACATTATATAAAATGGACATTGTTATCATAGGATTAGGTGAAAAACAAAACAATGTATAAAATGTAAAGCAAGTGAATATAACAGATGATCCACAGATGGCTTTACCTCTGCCCTTCATTTGTCTTGTGTACCAGACATCCTCTCCCCATAGACCATGGCTGCTTCTGCTGGTAGAGCCCTCGAGTTCAGCGATATTAGGGGCTAAGCCCAGAATCCACCACTAAGTCACTATTTCTTTTGGAAAACATGTTTTGAATTACAAATAACTTTTTAGAAGACAATCTATTATTGGGTAGCATTTCTCCCTGGATCTCTCATTTCTGCCTGTCTGTTTTAACAAGCAGAAGCACAAACTCTCCTCTATTCCAGACTCTCCTATCGAGGATGTTTGTATAGTGAACAGCTCTACAACTCTCTGGAGTAGAAGGAAGGTTTGCTCACAGCCCAGTATCACAAACGTATCAGCTCTTCCCTGATTGAGGACTACACAGCTTGGCTGGCGTCCTATTATGAAAGAGATTTCCTGAGTTAGGGGCTCCCAAATATGAGCAGAGCATTCACCAGCGCCCCTCTGGACCCTTTCTTGGGGTGTGGGGGGAAAGAAAAGCAACACAAACATGAAGCTCTTGCTACCTGCAAGCTGTGAGTAACAGCCTTTTATCTCTGACCCAGGAACCTCATCTTCCCCCGCCCCCCAGCATGTGAGGTCCTAAAGTTGCATCCCCCGCTTTGGAAATGCAGAGTCTTAACCTCTGGACCACCAGGGAAGCCCCATGGAAACTCATGTCTCTCGTCAGCATCCAAGACACTGAGGCAGGCTGGGTTGTGAGCTTGCTAGGAGGGCAAAATCTCAGGCCCATCGCTGTTCCTTACACCCACTTGTTGGAACATGTCTATCATTTTCAATCCTTTGATTTGCCACCTAAACATTGAATTTACTGGCTTCCGCCTTCCTTCTTCCTCTTTGTCTGGGTCAAGCTTTCAGCCACCGTATCTGTGTTGGCATGTGAAGGGCAAACTTTCAGCTGTTGCAGCTGGAGGCTGGGTTACAGAAGGATTTGAGCAAATAAGTATTCACTGAGGGCAATGGGAGCCAGCTTTCTCACAGGATTTACAAGAGCAGAGGATGGCTAAATAAACCCTGTGGTGTTGGATTGGAATTGGAGGTATCAGTGTGAAATCATAGCTATGCATGGATAGACAGATAAATGATAGGTAGACAGACGACAGATAGATAGACAGATAGATAGATGTGTGTGTGTGTGTGTGTGTTGTAAAGTGTCTGTTTTCCTCCTGAGATACTGCCCTCCCTGAGGGAAGGAACCATTTCCATTTTGTTCATCACTGCACCACAGGTGCAGGCCCAGCAGGTAGTAGGTACTCAGTGTGTAGTTTCTGAATGAGCAGATGGATGGAAGACTTCTAGCAAAATATGAAACCTTACTGAGTCCGTGTCTTCGTCTGTGAAATGGGACACTGATTCCTGCTGTGTTTCTGTGTGCAGCACGGTATTCCACAGGACATGACTCGTCTGAGGAAACAGAGTCCTGACACTCCTCACCTGCCTGCATTCAGGGGTGAAGAAGAACTTGCCTGTTCATGGTGTCAGACTGGAGGACTGTCTCCTTCAGCATGGAATATCCAATGAGGAGCTAGGGAGCCTGGGATCCCAGAGGCTCAGGAGGTTGGGACTTTGCCTGGGACTTGGGACACACACATATCACAGAAAGACAGTCTCATAGGAAGTTTGGTCATTGCAGGAGGGGTCAGGGCCAGCTGGCCAACCAAGGCAAGCACTCCCGTCTCCCAGGTCGGGTGACTGCCAGGCCAGCTTGTTTGCAGCCATTATGTAGGTCACCTTCACAGGGAAAGCTAAGCAGATGGACTCAGGAGAGCGTGGACCCAAGGAGTCAGTAGACCTGGGTTCAAATCCTTTCCCTATTATTTATTAGGGGGTCATGACCTGGGCAGAGTGCTTAACCTCAATAGCCCCCAGACTCCATATCTATACAATAGGGATGATATTACCTAGCACCTCATATTATTGTTTTGGTGAGCAAATGAACCAAAGTTATGTGAAATGCTTCTGCATGAAAGTTACATCCATAACTATCAACAGTAACTAGGTAGTCACACCCAGAAACAGGGTCCTCTCGGGGATTCCCAGAAGCAGAGTCTTGGTCAAAAGTCAGCCCAAACCAAGAAAGGCAGAATGAGGACTTCTCTGGTGGAGCAGTGGATAAGAATCTGCTACCAACCCGGGGGACACGGGTTTGATCCCTGGTCCGGGAAGATCCCACATGCTGCAAAGCCACTAAGCCCAGGGGTCACAACTACTGAGTCTGTGCTCCAGAGCCTGGGAACTGCAACCATTCAGCCTGTGCGCTGCAGGTACTGAAGTTTTGATTTTCTGCATGCTTCCCTTCACTTCCTAAACTTTACTTCTTTGCTTTATCAAAAAAACGTTATACAGTAAACACAAAAGAAGCCATCTCTTTAGCTGCCACTGAAACCCTTACCTCAAACGCTGCACAAGACTTGATCGGGTAGAGATAAAGGTTGGTAACAATGTGTGACCTGAGGTCCCCATCCAGGACGTCAGCAGCTTTCTCTGAAGTGGTCTGCTGGGTTCCGGTGGCCTCCAGCAAGGGCAGACACAGACCCTCTGCGTCCTCAGTGGTGGGCGAGTTGTTCCAAACCCCAGAGTGTGGGGAAGCGTCTTCCTGAGGTGAAGGGCTACCTCTGGCCCGGGTGGCAGGCACAGCGTTCTGAGCCTCGCTGTCTTCTGGCGGGGCTCCAGCCTCCCCGGGGGTGGCCAGAGGGAGAGGCTGGCCGTGAGACGGGCGCAATCGGGTTGCTATGATGAACCTGAGGAAGGCCTGGGCATCCTCAAGTGTGGACATGTATCCAAAAGAAATCCTCACAGAGCCCGTCGGCTGCCCATCTATGAGGTCCACATCGTCTCCACAGACGTGACCAGCCTAGGAGAAAGAAACAAGTCAGCCAGAGTGAACATTCCTCACGGATGGACCAGAAACCATTCTGTAAAACAACTTCTGTTGATAATAGAAGGTAAAATGAACCCTGGAAGAAAGAACTGCAACACTAAGAAGAGCTGCGTGCCTCAGGCATAGTTCCACAAGCACAGCCTACTCCTCTCTGGATATCACGTGGCCCACTGTGAACTCAGTAAGCCAATCCCAAGGGGCCATTAAACAGTTTAAAAGACACAACATTGTAAATCAACTATATTTCAATATAAATAAATAATTTTTTTTAATTTAAAAGCAATTGTTCATGTAAAGCATTTACCAGAGCCATACACACAACGCTGACCCATAGTGGCATCAAAAGACATACCGAAGTTTCAGGAGCACAGATGGGTCAGCTCCTTGGTCTACCCAGGGCTGAAGGGGGAGGAGAGCTTGCTGGCCATGCCTTTTAGACTCTCTCAGGATCAAAGGGAGGCCTGTATCCTTTGCAGCTGCCTTTTGACAAAAGGACAAGACAGAGATGCTGCCCCAAGGAACGACTGGCCCAAGCCCATAATGAAAGCCAAAGGCAGCACCAAGGGCCTGGCCGGGAGGTGGGGAAAGAAAAGCAAGAAGTCCCCAAGCCTCTCCAAGCCCTGTTGCCATGTATTGGTCACTGCTCCAGCGGCCTACCTCCCCAGAGCTGAAGCCAAGTCAGATACCCGAAGAGATGGGTCCATGGCATGCCTCAGGTTCAATATCATATCTGGAATTGCATTCATTTGTGTTTTGAGACTCCCTCTCTCTTTTTAAGCAGAACACAGTTAATGGTTGGTTGGGATCTAATATATTCATTATTTAGTGGTAGCCAAAAGAGACGATTTATAAACTATTCTGATATAAATAAGGCTTTTTGCCACTCAAACTAGGCTTAGGAAATGGTTCAAAATAAAATGTACCTTGAAGTGACAAACCCCACCTCAGGGAAGTGGCCAGAAGGGTGGGGACCTGAGTAATGCAGAATGCCCACTGGAAAAGTTCCTCTCCTCGCTCTGCCAGAGGATGAGCAACTTCTAGCTTGCAGATTTCACTCTGGCAGGACTGAACTAGTTAAGGACCCTCTGCCTGTATGAGCACATTTTCACACTGGCTTGTCCCCTGTTAAAAGTCATCTTCTGAATTAAAAAACAAACAAACAAAACAAAAACGTCCTCTACTGCTTTTAAATTTTTGCCCTCAAACTAAAAAACGCCTGGCATGGAGTCACCATCTGGAAGCATTTTCTAATTTTGTTGACCCTTTTTTCTTTGCATGTTCACAGGGTGGGCTCAAAGAAATGAACCCGAAGATCAGCCCCCACCCCAGACACGGGTCCAGCCTCTGGTGAAGATTAGGCACTAGCATTGGGTCTGGCTGGCCAGTGTTTGGGCCACAGGCTCCAGTACCAACCTGAAGATGCTTCTTCACCATCTCATCGCTTATCCCCAGATGCCTCTGGCAGGCCCCAGTGTTACAGAAGCAGCCGGTTCGCACATGGATGTTGTGAAGGCTGGCCATTTTATCCACCTATGGGTTTAATATGACACAGAACTAGGGTTAGGAGTGTCCAATTTTACTCTGACTGCCTGGACTGAAAAGAGTTTCAGGTCCATATTTGAGTCTCTCTTTCCTAACAGTAAAATGAAAATATGAGCTTGGAATTTTTCTCTAAAGTGCTATGATCCATCATGGGTTTACTAAATACATTTTATAAAATATTACTGATAATTAAAGCTTATCCAGTTGGGTAATAGACATATGGCTGCGAAAAGTGAAAAATATTGCACCAAATTCCAAGTTGAGAGCTCACATTTAAAATAATCTGATTTCTTAAATGAGCCGAAAATCTATATAGACATTTTTCCAAATAAGACATTCAAATGCCAAAAGGTGCATGAATCATGCTCAACATCACTAGTCATTAGGGAAATATAAGTTAAAACTAAAATAAGATATCACCTTTCAAATATCTAGTATCTAGCATGTAATATCACACCTGTTAGAAAGGCTATCATCAGAAAGACAACAAATAACAACCACTGCAATGATGTAAAGTAATTAGCCTCCAACTAATAAAACAAATTCACAGACAAAAATAAATAAATAAATAAAAATAAAAAATTTTAAAAAAGAGTTAGGGAGAACATGGAGGAAAGGGAACCCTGGTTCACTGCTGGTGGGAATGTAAATGGGCACAGCAACTATGGAACTATATAGGGATCCTTCAAAAAATTTAAAGTAGAACTAATTGCTGTATTTATCTGAAGGAAATGAAATCACTGTCTTGGAAAGAGATCTGTACCCCCATGTCTACTGCAGTATTTACAACAGATAAGACATGAAAACAATTTAAGTATCCATCAAAGGATTAATGGGTAAAAAAATGTATGTATAAAACACACATTGAAATATTGTTCAGCTATAAAAAAAGGAAATCCTGCCATTTGTGACAAGAATGGACCTTGAGGGCATTTTGCTCAGTCATAATGAAATATGCTAAGAAATAAGTCAGACAAAGACAAATACTATCTGATCACACACGTGGAATCAAATCAAAATTCTGATCGGTGGTTGCCAGGGGCAGGGGAGGGTGGGGTGCGGTGAAGGTGATCAAAAGCTACAAACTTGTACTTATAAGATAAATAAGTCTTGGGGATATAACATACAGCATGGTGACTATAGTTAACAACAATGTATTAGATACTTGAAAGTTGCTAAGAGAGTAAATCTTAAAAGCTGTCATCACAAGAAAATAAATTTTTATAACCATGTGTGGTTAACTTAACTTGTAGAAATCATTTCCCAATGTATACATATATAGAATTACTGCGTTGTACACCTGACCTGCCTCTTGAGAAACCTGTATGCAGGTCAGGAAGCAACTGTTAGAAGTGGACATGGAACAACAGACTGGTTCCAAATAGGAAAAGGAGTACATCAAGGCTGTATATTGTCACCCTGCTTATTTAACTTATATGCAGAGTACATCATGAGAAATGCTGGGCTGGAAGAAGCACAAGCTGGAATCAAGATTGCCGGGAGAAATATTAATAACCTCAGATATGCAGATGACACCACCCTTATAGCAGAAAGTGAAGAGGAACTGAAAAGCCTCTTGATGAAAGTGAAAGAGGAGAGTGAAAAAGTTGGCTTAAAGCTCAACATTCAGAAAACTAAGATCATGGCATCTGGTCCCATCACTTCATGGGAAATAGATGGGGAAACAGTGGAAACAGTGTCAGACTTTCTTTTTTTGGGCTCCAAAATCACTGTAGATGGTGACTGCAGCCATGAAATTAAAAGATGTTTACTCCTTGGAAGGAAAGTTATGACCAACCTAGACAGCATATTAAAAAGCAGAGACATTACTTTGCCAACAAAGGTCCGTCTGGTCAAGGCTATGGTTTTTCCAGTGGTCATGTATGGATGTGAGAGTTGGACTGTGAAGAAAACTGAGTGCTAAAAAATTGATGCTTTTGAACTATGGTGTTGGAGAAGACTCTTGAGAGTCCCTTGGACTGCAAGGAGATCCAACCAGTCCATCCTGAAGGAGATCAGTCCTGGGTGTTCATTGGAAGGACTGGTGCTGAAGTTGAAACTCCAATACTTTGGCCACCTCATGCGAAGAATTGACTCATTGGAAAAGACCCTGATGCTGAGAGGGATTGGGGGCAGGAGGAGAAGGGGATGACAGAGGATGAGATGGTTGGATGGCATCACCGACTCGATGGACATGGGTTTGAGTAAACTCCGGGAGTTGGTGATGGACAGGGAGGCCTGGCATGCTGCGATTCATGGGGTCGCAAAGAGTCAAGACACGACTGAGTGACTGAACTGAACTGAACACCTAAAACTAATACAATGTTATACATCAATTTGATCTTGTTAAAAAAAAGAATTTTAAGGAATTAATTTTTGAAAAAAATACACCACACATTTCAAGTGAGAGTCACAAGAATAAAATCTGAGTGTGGCTGGGACGTGGGGCAGCTCCTCAGTGTTCTTAGCCAAGACAGACCAGGACCATCTGTCCTGATCCCAAAGCAGGCCTTGGCAGAGCTACCACTCATAGGAGCCCTGCCTCGGCTCCCAGCCCAGACTACAAACATTACTGTGTTGACACTGCCTGTTACCGATGTGTTTTTCATAATATCTTAGACTTGAGGTTCAATCACAGAATTGCAATTCAATCCAGAAGTTCCAAGTCTTTTTCCTCTCCCCTGGAAGCCGGACAGGTGATTCTTGCTCACGGCTCAAAGGTGAGCTGGCGCGAGGGATGTTTGCGCCAGTTCCTCTGTTTGTGGGTCCAGGGTTCCACTCCCCCAAGGGCCTGGGGGCCCAGTGAGGGCCCTTTAGCCCTGGTGAATCAAGCTAAACTTAAGGAAGTCCTCTAATTGCACTTGAGGAAACAAACACAACTTGCCCAGCTGGGGAAGGCTTTGAAACTTTCCTTCCTGGGAAGAACATGCAGGGTGACCAGAAACCTGTGTCTGCAGACACAGGTCACCACGCACAGGGTCCGCCTGGCCGCCCTGCTGGGCGGGCACAATGGTGGTGCCTCCCACACACCTTTGTGGAGACCACATTGTCGGCACTTTAGCCATCGCCCTGGACTGTCAGAGTGTGAAGAAGCCATTTTTGCTGATGAAACCCAGGAGTTCCCTGCTTTCTGTGCTGAGGCCTGGCGGCCTCACTGGGTCTGGTCAACTCCACCTCCAGGGTCAGGTGACCTCCACTCAAGGGACAGCCTCTAGGAAAGCTCCCCGACCCCAGCTCCCGCCAAGCTGAATTAGAAGTCTCCCACGCGCACCCCTCTCCCTGACCCAGAGTGTATTCACTATTCCAGCTACCACAGCCACAAAACGAGCCACCCAGACATTGTGGCATAGAACAGCAACCACTGACTTGTGCTCATGGCTACAGGGGGTCAGATATTCAGAAAGGGCCCAGAGATGGCTGATCTCATTTGGCAAGACTAGAAGGCTGGGAGTGACGTGCCTGGGGTTGGAATTCCCTCGAGGTTCAGTTTCTCAAAGATGGGTCTGGCCTCGCTCAAACCAGGACAGTCACTAACATGCTTGCTTGTGGCTTCCTCACAGCATGGCCACTCAGGGTAAACCTCCTTCCACAGTAACCTGAGGCTCCGAAAGTGAATGCCCCAGGGAGCAATGCTGATGCTGCATGCGTTTTTCTGCCCTAGCCTCCAAAGCCAAGCAGTGTCACCTTCGGAGGCGTGCTATTGAATATGAGTGAATTACAGACTGCTGAGGTTCAAGGGGAAGAGACAGGGACCCCACCTAGAAGAGCATGTGGGTGGAAGAGGCTGTTTGGGCCACAGTTGCCCTTCATTCTACTTTCTCATCACAACTTCATCTTTTCTCAACCTGAGACCTTTGGAATCCCACAGAGGCTTGGCCAGTGCCCAGCCAGGTGAAGGAGCTGGCTGCTGGAACAGGATGAGTGCTGTATTCACCGTACAATGGGGCACTTGCTTCATGCCAGCCCGACACTGCTGCTGCTGCTGCTAAGTCATGACACTAAGGAGCTATATACTGTATCTCATTCACTCCTCATAACAAACTGTCATCAGGGTACATTCTTACCTCATTTCACAGAGACTTGGGGAGCTGACATTACCTCACCCGAGCTCAAAGAGCCAGTGCAAGGCAGCCCGAATCTGAACCCACCCACTTAACCACTGGGTAGACTGACTTTCACCAGAGGAGAAAATGAAATGAGGAGGTGCTTGTGTTAGTTCAGTCACTCAGTCATGTCTGACTCTCTGCGACCCCATGGACTGCAGCATGCCAGGCTTCCCTGTCCATCACCAACTCCTGGAGCTTGCTCAAATTCATGTCCATTGAGTCGGTGATGCCATCCAATGACACATCACTGAAATGAGGAGGCCTGGATATCAAAAACAGGTACCCAAAAGCTTCTCATAGAAGGCTCAACTCCTTCACAAATCCCCTCAAAAAGAGACAGCCAGACCCAGCCATGATGCCATGTAATATTTCCAAAGACTCTCCAAATCTCTGTGGAATTCCCACATGTGACAAAGACCAGGCAAACCCAGGATTCTCCTGAGCTGACACAGCTGGCCATGCCCCAGCCATGACCTCTACTCATGGAATGAACTTCCTCTATAGATGCACAAGGGAGAAACTCCTGTGGGAAACCTCAGGGTTCCAGGGAAGTCAGGCAGACACCAAGATGGGCAGCTCCCTCTCCTTGGGGAGATCTTCCTTTTTGCTTCTCTGGGCAAATAGATGATTCACCATTCTGCCTGGAACTTAACCCCACTCCCACCCAAGTACAAAGTCTCCTCTATGTCCCCTGACTCTCATTTGCAGAAAAACTGAAACCTTCCAGGCCTCCCAGAGTCACAAAAGAGCAGGCTCGGGCAGTCAACAAGTAGGACAACAGAGTCACAGACTCAGTATCTGATGAGAGAATGGGATTAACACTATTGCTCATAATAATCTATATCTTTGTGGGCATTAGAATAACTGTAGCTTGCCCTGCCCACATAGGTAAGCCAGCAACTAAAATGGTCAGCAAAGAGATGCCTCAGGTCCATGTGGACACCTTTCACTCTAAGACAGACACACTTTCTCAGCATGGAGCAGTTACAGAAGAGTGACCTTCGCCCCTATTCCCACAGAAATGGAATGATCCCTGAGAGTGGGAATTTGTAAGCAGTTCTTTTGTCCCTCTTCTATTTGTTCATCTCTGTTTTTCTCAGACTTTAATTACAAAAATGAGATCACGATGTAACATTTAACCTAACTCCTGACTTATGCTCTACTGAAGGTACACAATGCCTGGCCTAACCAGTTGATCCCTTTTCTGGATTAAAAGGAGTAAGAATGAAGAATTACATAGTTAAAGAATGACTGGCTCTGCAACCCCAGCTCCCTTGGCAAATCTGCAGGTGGACCATGCAGGCAAGACAGTATCCAAAAGAAGATAGGAGACATCAGTGGGTCTACACACAATGAGAAATGACAAAGAACCTGACCTCTTACCTTAATGATTAACTTGGATTTTTTTTCCCATTAAAAATTGTCATGGCTGAGCAGAATCTTTGGAGTTAGTCTCCAGACATGAGTCCACCATCTCCCTAGATTTCAGCTTTTCTGACTCAATAGCTTTCCTTTCTACTGACACTAGCCCCCGCTTCACTGAATTTTAAGTGGTGAGCAGCCCAACCGGAGTTCCGTATTATGCTTGCCACAGCACATTTCAGAGTCATCGGCCTGCCCTCCTCCACACCTCTCAAAAATACACCTATTTTAGATTCAAGAAGGAAACTTATTGTACCAATTACCCAGAATAACGTATTTGAGAAGGTAAACCTTTGGCCCCAATGTGTTTTACACCACCCCTCAAAAGCATTTAAAATTGCCTGCTTCTGAATGATGCTGGGCTGCTTCTGCTGCTATATATGTAAGGGGGGGCGGGGGGGCAATATCGTCACAATCAACTCACCCAAGAGACAACTAATGATTGTAGAGAGTTGGTCCCTGGACACCAGTGAGAACCAACATTTCTTCCAGAAAACAGTTCTCAAGTTTGTCCTCAGAAAGTTTATGGATCTTCCAAAAAAAATTTTTTTTTCATTGAAAAAAGAAAGTTCATGAGAAGCAGGGACAGGAATGAATTCCTTGACAAATGAATTCCATCTGAGAAAGTCTGGATTTAACATAGGTGTATGGAAAGAGTGGCTTTCAAGGGATGAGAAGCAGCATCTTCCAAACTGATGTGATGACCAAATCACTCCTCACAGCAGTTCTAGAAACCCGGGCTCTGGGAAGGGCCTTGGGCTCCCCAGGCCCAATCTGTCACAGCCCATCTGGTGACCACCTACTGCCATGTCTGAGTGTTCAGTGTGACTCTAGGTTTTTTAATGTACTAGGCAGTGACCAGCTTATTCAGTATCACAGGGATCCAAGCAGTCCCCAACCTGTAAACCACTACCTACAGTGTTTTCTTGAGAAAATGCATACAAAGGGTGTATCTGCAGAAACTATTTTATAACCAGCCTACCAAATACTTTGAACTTATTATAATGAACTACAGCAGAAATAAGGGCTTTTGTGCTACTAAGGACATCATTTCTACTTGTCATAAAAAAAGAGTGATGAGTTCCAAGAAACATGTAAACAAATGGTGGTAAGAGGCCCAGGATTTTGTGTGCCACTGCAATACGGTCGGATGTAATGGTGGGGCTACCAAGCTGATGGTATGTGACATGACCTCGGACAGGTTGCTCTGTCTACACTGTGTTAGGGTGTCTTCCCTTGCTGGCAAGCTGGCAGCTGTCCCCTCCCACTGCCATCAGAGACTCAGCCTCTCTTCCTAATTGAAAGTGACTACCAGTGGCTGAATAAAGTAGGCTAAAGAACTAAATAGCCCATGCTTGTTAGAATTGCATGTCAATGAAAGTACAGAGACTCTAAGGAGGGACCAGTGGCCTCTCCAACAGTACACAGGATTTGTCATGACTATTGCAAGGGCCCAGAGGCCTTGTCTTCAAATTTCAGGGCTACAGAATTGCAGACAAGAGCGATTCTGATATGCACAGGTTGGCAGGATGAAAAGAAAACCCACCTGGGAGTAACCAATGATGTTCCCGTTGTCATCGAGCACGTTGAAGCTGATGACCGGACCCTGCACCTCTGGGCTGCTGAACTCAGAGTCACTGTAAATCTGCACGACCGGGGCTCCGTTGGGGTACCGCAGGGAGGACAAGGCCGCGTAGGTGTACTGAGCCAGGGTAAAGGTGTGCTGCCGGACGTTCTCCATTCCACCTCAGAGCGGTAAGTGGAAGTGAAAGGGAATCATGAACTTTATGTAAAATTCACCGTCTCGGTTCTAAGAAGATGAGATCATTATAACTGGCCAACTTGGACCTCATATTAATGATTTTACACACAGTAAGTCCTCTACACACAAATGAGTTCCATTCTGGGAGTGCATTTGTAAGTCCAATTTGTTCATAAGTCCAACAAAGTTAGCCTACGATCGGCTATATAGTACTGTATCTACATTGGTTTTTAATACTTTTCACACAAGTAATACATAAAAAACAAACACAAAAAGAAAACATTTTTAATCTTACAGTACAGCACTTTGAAAAGTACAGTAGTGTCAGCTACATCACTGCTGCTTTTAAGCTTGTTTCCAGACATCCTGGTCTTGAAGTAAACATACTGTACCATCACACTCTATACCATACTGTACAGTACACAAATGTACAACCACTTGCAGAGGATGCAAGCACATGAAAATATACACCAGACACGTGAACTAACTTAGGTGACTAGATACAAGAATGCATGTTCGAATCTTTGAAAGTTTGAAATTTGAAGGATCATAGGTAGGGAATTTACTGTACTCGTAAACAGAATACGGTACTGCCCACACAATAAATGTTTAGGTCACTGGTACTGAATGACAATTTACTACTACTGCTTCTATGGAATTTTTCCATAGAAATTGCTATCATCTTCCTTTTCAAAATTTAAAAAAAAAAAGTTACTTAAGCATTCAGCTAACTTAGACCCTTTTGTAACAGACTGCAAAAATGTATACTTTTGTCTTTAAACGTATTTCTTTTTTGCTGTTTTTTTGTGAGTGTTTAAATCATACAAATTGTGAGCGTTTAATACTATACAAAGCAGCGAAGAATACTTGTTATACCATGGATGAACTCTGAAAACATTATGCTAAATAAAATAAGCCAGATATAAAAGGACAAATATTGTATTATCCCTTTTACGTATGGTGCCTAAAATAGGCAAATTCATAGAAACAGGAAGAATAGAGGTACGATGGGTTGGGGAGGGAGAGTTGAGGAGGTACTGTTTCTTAAGTTTGGGATGATTAAAAAGTCCTGGACATGGAGAGTGGTAATAATTGCTCTACAGTGTGAAAACACTTAATGCCACTGAACTGTACAAGCTTTAAAATGGCTAAACTGGTGCCATTTATATTACATAGAGTTCATGACAATTTTTTCTTAAAAAAAGAGCAATTAAGTAAGGGAAAATCAGGGTCTGCCTTACTCTGGAGTTGACACTGTCAATCTGCTTTCAGAGGTACCCCAGCCCTGTCAGACTCTGTCCCTTGTGGTTTGGACACCTCGTTAGCATCTTTCCTTGAAAAAGTGCCTGTTTCTCAGTGTCTGTCTTCACGGTCTCCTCTTTGTCTGGGTGATGCCCACTCACCAGCCTGCATTACTGGCGGGACGGCCCTTCCGCAAGTCCTGTATGTTTGCAGTGCTGGGATTAGGCTGAGGACCTAAGGGTTACATTATTTTGACGAGAGAGAGAGACAGAGAGAGAAAGGGCTGCCTAACTGCTATACCGAGTCCCTGGTTCACCATAACTCCATCCCCATCTGGACAGGACAAGCAGTGCTGCCCTGTCCTAGAAGCTCAGCCTCTGATAGGAGCGACTGGAGCATAGCAGGAGGGTGGAGGCCCGGCTCACCAGACAGAGCTTCTTCCAGCCTGTACCCTGTGTCAACCACACAAGATCGGATGTGGCATCCATCTGTGTGTCGGACTATGGGGAATGTCCCCCACCTGCTCACACACCCCAAGCTCTTGTCAGGAAAGAAAGCACGTGTCATTGCAAAGGTCAGCAGCAGAGACCACATCTGGGGACTCGGGTAAGGCATTAGGATTGCGTGGGTTTAAACCCTTTAGTCCTCCCAGGTTCCCTGGCCCTGGAGAAGGCATCTAATCTCTGAGTATAAGCTCTTTTGTGGGCAAAGTGGGCTCATCACAAAGCTCCCCCATGGGAAGACCCAGTGAATTAAGAGCTTTGTAAGTTCTCAGTATCTGTAAGCATTCCCAGTGCAGGGACCAAGGATGGCTCCTCTGCTTCTATGAGGTTACTAATCTCAGGATTTGGAAAGTCTCTATTCTTAAAACATTCTTTTAGCCCACCAAAAAAAAAAAAAGAGCGAGAGAGAAAGGTCCAGTCTCTCGCTCTTGCCGCAAAATCATTTCTGGAAGTTGTTCAGAATCAGCTCCGCCTGCATCAGTGTGGAGCTGCGGGCGCTCATCACTTGCACAGACTCTCTCCTCATCTGGATCCCATCCGTGCCAGGGCTCCCTTCAAGGACACAGGCAACAGGAGCAAACGCCACACGGATAGAGATGTGCATTGAGAGGACTTCTCTGGGGTCCAGTGGCGAAGACTTCACACTCCCAGTGCAGGGGGCCTGGGTTCGATCCCTGGTCTGGGAATTAGATCCTGCATGCCTCAACTAAGCGTTAACATGCTAAAGATCCCACGTGCTGCAACTAAGACCCGGTAGAGCCAAAAAAAAAAAAACAAGATGTCCACTGACCTGTGAGGCGCTCTAGGGCATCAAATCCATGCTTTAGTGCTATCACGTCAAGGAAGGAGATGGTGCCATCTTCAAACCTGCAACAGTGGGGAGAGGGACAAGGTCAAGCTGTGACCAAGCCTCCATGTGCATTTCATGTTATGTGACATCAGGGCTTTGCGCCTCCGGTCTATGGAGACTTTGCCTCTGCTATGTTATATACCATCTCCCCTCCCACCTTGAGACAGATGGCTGTCACAGCAAGACACGCAGGCTACCTCTGGCCCTGACCTGCTCTGCGACTTACGTCAGCTGGGCTAGCAGTGATGATGAGGGGCCCTGAAATATAGTCATGACCTCGGAAAACTTCAGACTTGACTTCAGTCTCAAGTGCTGTGGCTCCTACAATGCTGCCCTTGACCCCAAGTCAGCACCCCTGACAGGGCATCGATTCAGTAAGATCCATTGTGTAGCCACCAGGTTCTTAACAAGAGTCCATCATTCCAAAGTCTATAGGACCACAGTTATTAGAAGGCTCTCAATAAACTTCCTGTTATCAAGCTGTTCATTATATTTACATTTTTTAATGGTTCATTTAGACAAAATCCTCATCAAATCTTTATTGTCCATGGACCGCATGCCAGGCAGTGTTCTGGTTGCTAAAGATACAGCGGTGAACATGGCAAGTGGGATTCCTGCCTTCACAGGGCTCCATCCTTCCAAGGGCACCGAAATAAGGGAAGCCAAATACGCGCAAGCCAGGGGCGACACGTGCACTGGAGGGCCGGCGGCTGCTTTAGATGAGACGGTCAGGGGACGTCCTCTCCGGGGAAGATCACTCAAGCAGAGGATGAGTCAAGGGAGTAAGGGAAACTGCTCATTTTTGAAACCGTTAAGTTCACAGTTTCGGAAGGAAACAGCATTCCAAGGGGCGGGTGCAGCAGAAGCCCTGAGCAGATGGAGTCAGACAGCAAGAAGATCAGCGGGTCTGGGAGCGCTCGGAGGGCAAGTCAGAGAGCTTCACCCTGGGTCAGAGGAGTGCCTGGAGGGCTCTGAACAGAGGAGTGACTGGATGGGGCCTGGCTTTTGATAAGATGCCTCTGGCTGCTGCATTATCGAGGGGAGAGCTGGGGACAGTAAGGAGTTTCCAGCAAGCATCCTATGGACTGGGGCCTGCCAGGCTCCTCTGTTCATGGAATTCTCCAGGCAAGAATAGTGGAGTGGGTTGCCATCTACATCTTCTCCTGAAGATCTTCAGGAGATCTTCCCAACCCAGGGATTGAACCCAGGTTTCCCGCATTGCAGGCAGATTCTTTACCATCAGAGCCACGAGGAAAGCCCAAGAACACTGGAGTGGGTAGCTTATCCCTTCTCCAAGGGATTTCCCAACCCAGGGATTGAACCAGGGTCTCCTGCATTGCAGGCAGATTCTTTACCAGCTGAGTTACCAGGGAAGTGGTGATAAAAAGCAGCCTTATGCAGGTTGAAGTTTTCAATGGAAATACTGTGTTTTGTATTTTAATACTCTAGGAATAAGAGTTGCTCAAAATATCATTACCACAATGTGAATTTTCTTATAAAACAAATGGCAATTAATAATGATACAGAATTAACAATGAATCAATTGACAATTAATTGACCATATGAGTCTGTAATAAATTAAACATGATGGCTGGATAGCATCACTGACTTGATGGACCTGAGTTTGAGTAAACTCTGGGAGTTGGTGATGGATAGGGAGGCCTGGCGTGCTGCAATGCATGGGGTCGCAAAGAGCCAGACATGACTGAGGGACTGAACTAAACTGAACTGAGGCAATACTGACTTCAACTATTAATTGATCAATGATAAATAAGTATTTATTGATCAAAAATTAATAGACTCGGGAGAAAAGGGAGGTTTTATGTTTCCATCAAAAGTTGTTTTCATTGGGTTATGAAATAGAAAAAGTTAAGAATATGGAACTTCCCTGGTGATCCAATGGCTAAGACTCCACATTCCCAATGCAGGGAGTCCGAGTTCTAGCCCTGGTCAGGAAGCTAAAATTCCACATGCCACAACTAAGAGTTCACATGCCACAAGACCCAGTGCAGCCAAGCAAACAAATACATAAATATTTTTTAAAAGAGCATGGTCCAGGTACATGCTCAAGAAACATTTGGATTGGGTATTAAATCTTGTGTGCTCTAATCTAGGCTCAGAAGGAAAAAATGAGATTTTTTTTTTTTTTTTTTTTTTTGCCACATGGCTTGCAGGATCTTAGTCCCTTGACCAGGGATTGAACCCGGGCCACCAGAGTGAAAATGCCAAGTCCTAACCAGAGGACCGCCAGGGAAACTCCCCAAATGAGACTTCTAATGGTAAATAAATACATTCAGCTATCTGGGAATCTTGGTGCAGCACCTGAGAGAAGGCAATTCACCCAGACTGTAAGAGGCAGCCCACCCACACCCACGCCCCACGTGTAATGAGCAGCCCTGTTCCTCCTCACCTTCAGGTGCCCCTATTGGCTTAATAAAATTTCAGCTGTTATTTTGTTCCGCCTTTAATTTATATGATGTGCCTGTCATTCTTTTCTCACTTGGTTACATTACACGCTATATTATCACACTTGGATTCAAGAGGTTTTACATTAGCATTCCTGTTTTTAGAACTGCCCATCTATGGAGAAGTTCTAAATAAGAGAGACATCGGATAGCTTCATAATGTATTGTTGCCAACTCAATCTTGGTGCTTCACCTATGTTAGTGCTAAAGAATTGTTTTCTCTAAGAGATGCACTTTACAGGACAAACATGAGGGGCAGAGGTCAAATCACAGGCCCTGATTCCCACAGCTGGTGGCAGAGGAGCCGCCCCCAGCAGCCCAGCTCCGGGACCTACACCTTGGGCTACGACCCTACTGCCGAGGCCATGCCCTTGCCTGCAGGACCCTCCAGTCTGATCTGGGTCTGTGGGGGATCTGAACCCCCTTCCCATTCAGGCCCTGTGGCCTTCTCAGGCCCCAGCACAGTGACAAGGTCCTGGCCCCACCTCATGGTACCTGGCCTCCACCTGTTGTTGGCCCCCGCAGAACCCTGGATTGGCTGCCATTTCCACCTTCTCATACCTTCAATCTTCATGCCCCAGCCATTGCCATTTGGGAGATTCCCACACAACCTGCCCATGCACCCTGAGAAAAACACATAGATCACCAAACCCAGGCGAGGTTTGCAAGCCCTCAAACTTCCCTGGTAAATGCCCCCTGGGGTCGGGGTGCTCATAGAGACTGCTGTTAGCAGCACTCCTGAATCTGGTGGCCTCTCATTTGACTGACTCCTCCTGCTGACCAGAGAGCAAGCTGAGCTGCTTCTAGCTGCTGAAATACAGCCATGCTGTCAACACGTGTGCACACTCGTGCCAAATGGTACCAAATTCTTAAATCACTGCTTCAACACCTTGTTTTATGTCCCTGGATATGTTCCAGTATCTTCAAGTTTACAGTCTACGGGAATTGAATAGAATTTGTATCCTACTGCTATATAAAAATCATACGCCTGCATGCTCAGTCGCATCATTCGTGTCCAGCTCTTTGCAATCCTATGGACTGTAGCCTGCCAGGCACCTCTGTCCAAGGGCATTCTCCAGGCGAGAATACTAGAGTGGGTTTCTGTTCTTGTTGAATTTGTTCATAGTGCTTTTCAGGTCTTCTATACCCTTCTACTTTTCTGTATATTCATTCTATTAGTTTTTGAGAGTTTGATATTGAAATTCCAACTAAAAAAATCTTAATTTATCTACCTAAAAAAATAATTGCAACAGATAGTGGAACTACATGTAACTTTGTTCTGTGTTTTCCAAGTCTCTTATTATTGTGTTATCGTGTCTGTCCGTGGCATTTCCCAGGCAAGCATGCTGGAGTGGGTTGCCATTTCCTTTTCCAGGGAATCTTTCTGACCCAGGAATTGAACCCACGTCCCCTGCATTGCAGGCAGCCTCTTTGCCACTGAACCACCGGGGAAGCCCGAATTATCATACTTTCATAATTGAAAAAAATAAAAATTATAATAAAAAAAAAGTCACTGCTTCAGTAGCTTCCCCTCATATCGGTGCTCTGGGCAAAGGCCTGGTGCCGACCCTCCTTACCCCTGGAAGGCCTTCATGTCTTCCGCTCGCAGCCCTTACCCGGAGACCCTTGCTCTCCCACAGCTGTGGAGAGGCCCACACATGGGCTTCACAGGCCTGGTGTGGACGAACCAGCCAACACCAGCCTCCTCTGCACAGTCCTACAAGGGGCACGCGCCAGGCCCCGGCCATGCCGACGCTCAGCATCCACTCCCATCACCAGGTTACCTCTCAGCCATCGACTCTCTCGGGACGTAGAAGTCATCTCCCGCGAGGTACGCAGCAGCAGTGCCTCCTCCAAAGTAGGTTTTCCTCAGCAGAGGAGCCGAACGGTTATTCACCAGCAGAGCGCCCAGGCCGGTGGGGAAGCCAAAGATCTTATAGAAGGAGAGGGGGACAAAGTCGGCCTGGTGAACCGACAGGTCCAGAGGCGAGGTGCCCACGAAGGCGGCCGCGTCCAGCAGCACAAACCACTTCCCAGGCCGGCTCGCAGGGCGCCTCCGCCCGGACTTGACCTCGCCTATCCAGGACAGGGGGTATCTGGTTCCGGAAAAGTTACTCTGAGCCGGGTAGCAGAAGAGATGCGGAGGCTGGCCGGCAGGGTCCCCGGCGGGGTCCTCGGCCGCAGCCGCGTCCTGTCTGTCCGCTGACCACATGTCCTCTGGCCTGACCGGGATGGAAGTGACGTTCATGGCCGCGGTGATCTTCCTCATGCCCACCACGGACGTGTGGCTGTCGGTGAGGTAACAGAAGCAGCTGCCGCTGCCCTCCGGGCCTGGGGACACCCACGGGAAAGCCTCTGCCACCAGTTTAAGAGCAGCCGTGCTCCCGGAGGTGAAAATCACCGTGTAGTCCTCTGGGGAGGTGTGGAAGTGCGCCAGGATCCTGGAAGAAGCACAGCATCAGGCAACTCCATGGTCTCCATCCGGTGTTAAATATTCAGAGGTAGCTGTATTTCTACTTAATAAGATGTCTATCTACCGTGTGTGTGTGTGTGTGTGTGTGTGTGTGTGTGTGTGAGTGCTCAATCACTCAGCCGTGCCTGACTCTTTGAGACTCCCATGGACTGTAGCCCACCAGGCTCCTCTGTCTATGGAAGCTTCCAGGCAAGAATACTGCAGTGGGTTGCCATTTCCTCCCCCAGGGGATCTTCCCAATCCAGGGATCAAACCCACATCTTCTGCGTCTCCTGCACTGTAGGCAGATTCTTTACCGCTGGGCCACCAGGGAAGCTCCCTCTCTATCTTAATAGCTAGAAGGAAAAAAAAACCAGATAGGCTTTGCCACAATGGTGAAGTGAGGTCAGGGGCAGAGGAAGCTGGGGGAAGAGATGCAAAGAGGTGCAAACTGGCAAAATTACCCAGCCTCCCAAATCCCCACCCCCAAGTGGATAAGACAAAATTCATAACTACCTTAAACTCAGCTGAAAACACCACTTCTTGGTTTACTGTCTGGCTCTGTCATAACAAGTTCTAAGTCATCAACTTGTTTCACGTTGCTTTTAACACAGGCAACCCATAGCAAAAGGTGTCACTTTCAAGTAGGAAATAATTTGCAATTGTGTTGAGTCAAGTATCTTTAGGTACCACCTAAATTATTTGCAAAATTTGTTATGTGCAAATATTAGTAAAAGGGAGGGGAGAAATGGAGAAGACAAGATGTCTAAATCTGAAATACGTAAAGGAAAAAAACAGAGAAAGCACTTTTCTTCTCCCTGAAAACAAGACTTAGGAACTAGGGTCACTCCTTGTCACTCTGACCCCCAGGAATGATGGCACCAGCCCAGAGCCACACACAACAGCTTGGACACCTCAGAGGCGCCTGCCTGTACTTGTGATGGACCCTGCTCAGCACCTGCTCACGCTCACCTTCCTAACCTCGGACATGGTGGTTAGCAGCGTGCATGTGTGGCCATTTAGCTGAACATGGTCTTCCCAAAACCAACTCAGCACCTCTGTAGGATGTGGGCAGATGGTAGGAAGTCCATCCACCCACAGGCACCCACACAGGCGGGCGCCCCGATCTGCTCACCTGAAGCGCACGTGTTCCACTGTGTCGTGGGTGAGCTTGCTGCTGATGTTCTGGCTGTGAGGGTTACCTGGCAGGTTACAAAGACAAAGTCGCAGGGTCACTACTCATGGTCTCTCCTGGTGTGTTCCTCCAATACCCTCCGCTTCAGTTTCTCAAAAAGTTAAGCAAAAAAAAAAAAAAAAATACTGTATGATCCAGACTTCCCTGAGCTCCAAAGAGTATATTTAATCAGAGAAGTGACAAAGTGCAGAAAGATAGGAAAACAGTCAAGCAGGACAAAATAATAATAGTTGAGCCATTAAACCAAGTTCCTCCTCATGGCATATAGCATAGATTCTGGGCCATGTCCTTTGAGCTGTTCTGTAAATTCCACACCGCCACCAGGTGGAAGAAGTGAACTGAATACCGCGCCTACCCAGCTCTCTGTTCACATCTCACCACTCTCCTCCCCTCCCTGTTTGGGGGCTGGTTACTAAAACCACTGCAGGGTCCTGGTGTATGCTACTCCTTCTGCCTGAAATGCCCTCTCCTCCTCTTTTCCGAGTGAATTCCTGCTCCTCCTCCAGCATCCACCCCGTCCTGCAGAAGCTTTCCCTGATAGCCACACTGCCGACTCACCGTCTCTCTGCACATACAGAGCACCCCCCACCCCCAGCATTGGGGCCTTTGGGTCATAGCCCTTCACACAATTAATAATTTACTTTATTTCTGTGTTATACTACTTTACTTTTTCTTTTCTTACATTTATTTGGAATCACTTGATTGAGGTCTTGTCTTTCCTAGACCGCAGTCCAAGAAGGCAGCTGCTGCTGCTGCTAAGTAGCTTCAGTCGTGACGGACTCTGTGCCACCCCATAGACGGTAGCCCACCAAGGCTCCCCTGTCCCTGGGATTCTCCAGGCAAGAACACTGGAGTGGGTTGCCATTTCCTTCTCCAATGCATGAAAGTGAAAGTGCTAGCGACCCCATGGGCTGCAGCCTACCAGGCTTCTCCGTCCATGGGATTTTCCAGGCAAGAGTACTGGAGTGGGTTGCCATTGCCTTCTCCGCCATGAAGGCAGGGAATGTATTTACTTTGTTCCTGTTACAGCACTATGCTCCCAGCCCCAGGGCGACTTGATAAACACTGATGGAGTCAATGAATGCATGTTTCCCGTTGTCCCATCCTTTGCACAGCGCTGGCCCCACAGGGCCACCCCACCACCAAACGCAGCACCTTCGTACCCCAGGCCTCCTTCCTGACACCGACCCCTTCTTTTGGAGGTTACCCACGTATCCCTGAACCAGTCCCTCCCACCCAGCAGCACATGTGCTCCAGGACAGACCCTAGGTTCTTGCCTGACCCCCTCTCATGAGGGGCTTCCCCAGCGCTGTGTATTCAGCGCTGTTCCCACTTGTCCATCTGACATTTTATTAGGAATAGGAATATCAGCTGAATGTATCGGGTTGGCCTGAAATTTCATTCGGGGGTGGGACACAAAACCCCGAATGAACTTTTTGGCCAACCGGATAGTTGGCTGAAGTTCAATGCAAAAAAAATCAGTTATGCTGTGTTTTTCTTTACCATAAACATTTTCCAAGACATCTTTCATGAAGCTTGTAATCTGGCTCTGGGGGAACAACGTGGTTCCTGCATGATCAAGATAGACAGTTCCTGAAAGAAAATACAAAATAAAGCTTCAATTATTTTCAGAGGTATTTCACTCACTTTATCTAGATCTGCTTTGTGTGAACCTGGCCAGTGCCTATTTGATGTGTTTAGACATAACAACAGGATACTGATTCTCCCAGCCTCTCGACATGTGCTTCTTCTTTTTTAGTATTCTTTTCATATTCTTTTCTATTAGGGTTTATCACAAGATACTGAATACAGTTCCCTGTGTTATACAGTGGGATCTTGCTGTTTCAGTTCAGTTCAGTCTCTCAGTCGTCTCCGACTCTTTTCAACCCCATGGACTGCAGTACACCAAGCTTCCTTGTTCATCATGAACTCCCGGAGCTTGCTCAAACTCATGTCCATCGAGTCAGTGATGCCATCCAACCATCTCATCCTCTGTCATCCCCTTCTCCTCCTGCCCTCAATCTTTCCCAGCATCAGGGTCTTTTCCAATGAGTCAGTTCTTCACATCAGGTGGCCAGAGTATTGGAGTTTCAGCTTCAGCACCAGTCCTTCCAATGAATATTCAGGACTGATTTCCTTTAGCATGGGCTGGTTTGATCTCTTGCTGTTTATCCATCCTATATATAATAGTTTGTGCATGAGTGCTAAGTTGCTTCAGTTTTGTCCGACTCCGTGCAACCCTATGGACTGTAGCCCACCAGGCTCTTCTGTCCACGGGAGTCTCCAGGCAAGAGTACTGGAGTGGGTTGCAGTGCTCTCCTCTAGGGGATCTTCCTGACCCAGGGATCAAACCCGAGTCTCTTACGTCTCCTGCATTGGCAGGCAGGTTCTTTACTGCTAGCACCACCTGGGAAGCCAGTTTACATCTGCTAATCTCAAACTGCCAGTCCTTCTCCACTCCCCAACCCTCCCTTGTCGATGTGCACTTCTTAACCCAAGTAAAGTCATGAGCAATGGAAGAACTGCACTTCAGCACTTAACGACCCTTAGGGCCGAGAGCCTTCCATGACGAACCAGGTCTCTTCTGAACCTGGAGAAGCAGCCCACAACAGGGGAGGAGGAGGAGCCTAGAAGACGTCCCTGATTCAGGATGGCAAATCTACTTCACACTGTGACTCACACCCTACTCTGGAGTTTCCGTGCAGCCTTCGTGGCTGTCAAGCCCTGATTCTACTTTCCCACAGTGACTTGCACAGTCCTCAACCTTAGAACAGCTCTGAAGCTTTCAGAGGTGCCTGAGAATGGAGGCGACCTTTCCAGTCTCTCCCCTAAATAGAGACAGGCAAATTTAGATGACAGCGAGATACGGAGCCTTACCAATCAGACTGCCCCAGATCAAAGGGTTGGATAACTCACTGTGTGGGCGAGATGTGGGCAAACAGGCCCATTGGGACATGGCTGTAGGAGGGAAAACTGGTACCACTTCTTTATGAACAGCAACTTAGCAGTACCACTTACGCTTTCAAAATGCAAACTCTCCTTCACCTAGCAATTCATCTTCCTGAAATCTATCTTACAAATTGTGAAATGGCCTGTCAATGAGGACATTCAGTGCAGCACTGTCTACGTATTTAAAAGAAAGAATTTGAATACGTCCATCTGGTAATTTGTAAGTACTGCCATGCAACAAACACCAAGACATGTTTTCAAGAACATACATGTGAATGGATTCATTCTTTCACGTACTTAACAAATATTTTTGCTTTGTGCAGAATACATTTTTCATTTATTTTATAATGGCTTTACTGAGATTAATTCACGTACCATAAAATTTGTCCTTTTAAAGTTTACAATTTAGTATATTCATATAGTTGTGCAACCATGGCCACTATCTAATTTTAGAACATTTCATTCATCCCAAAAAGAGACCCCACAGCCATTACTTCAATCCCCAAATCCAGCCCTAGCCTTGGCAATCACCAATCTATTTTCTGCCTCTATAGGCTCAAAGGGTAAAGAATCCACCTGCAATGTGGGAGACCTGGCTTCAATCCCTGGGCTAGGAAGATCCGCTGGAGGAGGGCATGGCAGCCCATTCCAGTATTCTTGATAGAGTATCCCCTTAGAATGTAACCCCCTGGTGGGCTATAGTCATGGGGTCACAAAGAGTCAGACATGACTGAGTGATTAAGCACAGCACAGCATAGATTTACCTATTTTGTACTTTCCATATAAATGGAATCGTACAACATGTAGGCTTTTGTGTCTGGCTTCTTTCCTTTAGCATAACAGTTTCAAGGGGCATCCATACTGTAGCATGTATCAGAACTTCATTCCTTTTTTATGACTGAATAGTATTCCATTTTATGGCATGCCACATATTTTGTTTAACTACCATCTACTGATGAGTATTTGGTTATATTTTTGCCCATTATAAATAATGCTGATATGAATATGTGTGTACAAACTTCTGTGTGGACATGTTTTTTCCCTGGTTAGATGTTCTTTCACTTTCTTGATGATATCCATTGAAAAAAAATGTTTTTAATTTTGATGAAGTACCATTTGTCTATTTTTATTGTTTGTGATTTTGGTGTCATAAGAAACCATTGCCTAATCCAAGGTCCTAATGATTTATACTTATGCTTTCTTCTAAGAGTTTTCTACTTTTAGCTCTTATATTTAGGTCTTTGATCCATTTTGAGTTAATTTTTAAATACAGTGTTGAAGAGGGGTCCAACTTCAGTCTTTGGTGTGTGGATACACCTTTTAAGATATTGTTTTTTCTCCTATTGAATAGTCTTTACATCCTGATGAAAATAAATTGAATATAAATGTATGGGTTTACTTCTCAACTCACAATTCTACTTCATTGGTCTATGTTTCTATCTTTATGCCAATACCACACTGTCTCGATTATTGTAGCTTTATATAAATCTTACTTACCTTTCCTTTTATGGAAGTGTAAACCCTTCAACTTTGTTCTTTTTCAAGATTGCCTTGGGTATTCTGAATCATTTGCATTTCTATATGAATTTTAGGATCAACTTGTCCCAAAAAATACCTGGGATTTTGATAGAAATTGCATTGAGTCTTAGGTCAATTTGAGGAGTAGTGACATCTTAACAGCGTTAAGTCTTCCAGTCCATGAATGTAAGATGTCTTTCCATTTATTTAGGTCTTCTTTTATTTCAATGTTTTGTAGTTTTGTTTTTCTTTTGATAAGTCTTGTATTTCTTTTGATAAGTTTATTCCTGAGTATTTTATTTTTTTTGAGGCTTTGGGAATTGTTTTCTTCATTTCACTAGCATAGTGTTCATTGATACTGTATAGAAATTGAACTGATGTTTGTATACTGATCTATACTACAACTCTGCTGAACTTGTTTTTTAGTTCTAACTGTTTTATATGTGGATTTTTTTTTTTAGGATTTTCTGTATACAAGATTATACTCTCATCAAGTAGAGATGTTTTTCTTCTTCCTTTCCAATCTGGATGACTTTTATTTCATTTTCTTGCCTCATTTTCCTGGCTAGAACTTCTAGGACTATATTGAATAGAAGTTGTAAGAACAGATTTCCTTGCCTTGTTCCTAATCTCAAGGGTAAAATTTTCATCCTTTCACCTCTAAGTATGAGGTTAGCCATGGGTTTTTTGGTAGATGGTCTTTATCTGGTTGATTAAGTTTCCTTTTATTCCTAGTTTATTGAGTGTGTTCATATTCAAGAAATATTTTGGGGGCACTTACTGTTTCAGGCACTGTTCTAAGTGATGGGAACATAACAACAGACAAAATAGAAGCTGTATGCTAGTGACAGAGAAAGACCATAAATAAACGTGAACTATGTCAGGTGGTAAGAAACGTTATGGCTCAAGCATGTGAAAAAAAACCAAACATGTGTACATACATGTAAATATAGACAAACATTGGAAAGGCATACAAAACATAAATGGCAGCAATTGACTGTGGGGTGGCCCTGGTGGCTGCAGTTGGAGTGAGGGGGGGGCTCCCTGGCCATTCTTCAACCTCTTTTGGCACCTTTTGAATTTGGTACCATGTTAAATGTATTACCTAGTCCAAAACATTAGTTTTCAAATAATGTTCTCATTTACTGAAGATTCAGAAATAGAAAGATACCACACCAAAAGAAAGGCTGTTGCCCACCCATCATTAGGGAGAGCTACAGTGCACTGCTGTTATTATTCGAAGAAACAGGCAAAAGACCCCTAAACTAGTTGGCATTAGGTCTTCAAGAAAGCAAATCCCAGGGTCTGCTCTGGCTCCTGTAACTTCAGTTCTTGGTTCCACGTAAGGTGAGTGGCCATCAATCAGCACCCAGAGGCTTTAAGAACCACTTGAACCACATCTGTGGAATCAACAAGCTCGTTTCAAGAAAACAAGGATGTTCCCATTCAATGGGTCGGGAAATATTTTAGCACTTAAAGGTTAAGCATTTAATTATCCAGAGCAAACCACTTAACCAGATAAATTCTCAAACCTGCAGGAAAACTTTGAGGGGGTGTGGATAGGGGTCAGGGGAAAGAAGAAGAGGGGGAATCTTAAGTTATTTTGGTTTGCTTATTTTCCCCTGCCCTCTTGCTAGTTCATTTGTTTCCATGTGAAAAAGGGGGGGGATATTTTCCAAGACTCCCAGTGATGGGAAGGGTGAGTTTAGTCCATAAATGTCTACCACAATCATAATGTAGAGAAAATGCTGGGAAATTGTACCAAATAAATGATAGACAGATAGACAGATAATCACAAAACAGTACCACAAATAGAATAGGGGCACTTCAGGCTAGCCTGGGATCCTATCACAGCTAAATTTTACACTGAGGAAAAGCATGCTGTTCACTGAGAGACAAGAATGAAACAAAGAGACACCTACTTCCTACTTTCCCAGGTGATGTTGAGAGGAGGGGTCAGCTAATGATGGGTGTAAGAGATCACAGCTTGGAGGGTATCAGGGAATTAAGAAGGAGGGATACTGAAATAATTACAGACTGAACAAGAGCAGCCCCTGGGATTTGCTTGAAAAGAATGGGACACCTTTCTCACTTCCTCTGCACCTGTGGGGTGTTTATTCTATAGCTGTCTCTATATCTGTGGGTGGAAAGTTTCCATAACCAAAAAAATTCAGAGAAGGAGGGGGAGATGGGGAGGGTAAAGGGGAACTGTCTCCAGCAGGTGAATGCGGGACTGGGAAGATCAGGAAGAGAAAAGAGACGGCCAGAGGGCCCCCGTCTCCTCCGGGAGCCTCTCCAGGTAAGTACAGACTGGACCACAGCCCTTAAAGCTCCCAAAGGAGAAAAAAAAAAAATTACTTTCTGAAACATGAGAAAATGACACAAAGAGCTGATTAATGAAACATACATCATGATGCTGTTCTGTCACAAGCTGGAAAGTGACACTGTTCACCAAGACAGAATAAAGTGAAAGAAATTGAAAATGTTAGATGTTCAGTCCTGTCCTGCTCTTTGCAATCTCATGGACTGTAGCCCACCGGACTCCTCTATCCATGGAATTCTCCAGGCAAGAATACCAGAGCAGGTAGCCATTCCCTTCTCCAGGGAATCTTCCCCACCCAGGGATCAAACTCCTGTCTCCTGCATTGCACACAGATTCTTTACCGTCTGAGCCATTAGAGAAGCCCAGAATAAGTGCACCTCAAATCCCGGTGCCCGGCGCCACGACCTGCTCCTTACCCCGCATACCTCCCAGTTCAACCAGCACACCGTTCTAAGGCTTGGCGAAGCCCCTCATACAAGGTCCTCGGCAAAAGGATGAGTCCCGACCCAATGCGTGTGGTCCCCTCCCGCCCTGCAGCAATGGGCTGGGAGGACGGCGGGCCACATGGAGCGTGACTTTTCAATTTAAACTGCCTGTTCCGCCTTGCGGAACTCCAAGGCACGATGTGATCCCAGTCCTCACGTCCAATATACAAGCTCGTCCTGTACTTAAAAGTTCAAATTGCACGGTTTGCTAATTCTTTAGGTCCCCCACCGAGCTGCACTTCCGAGGCATTGTTTTACCTACACGAGTGAGAAAATTAAAATGAGACTTCGAAAAGAAAAGTTGCTGCGAGGCAACTCAGAGTCTGGAGCTCAGCCCATCGGTCCCCACCCCGCGCGCTGGCCGCGCGAGCGCCGCTCCCGCCCCCGGGCGAGCAGACGAACAGTCACAGCTGCCGGACATTCCTGCATTTTGCAACCCTGTCTCCAGTTGGACTTTTAAGAGCCGGGAGTCTCTCGGGCAAGCAAAGGCCAAAAGAATCCTCAGTCTTGTTCCCGGAGGGCAGAGACCGGTAGCAAAGGATCACGTCGGTCCCACAGGACTGGAAGTCTAAGAGGCAGCAAGCTTGGGGTTGCAGGTAGGACCTCAGCGAGCCGCGTGCACGAAGAGGGCGCGTGGACACATCTCTCCAGTTCTTTCGATTCAAAATGCGACGCCAGTGAGGTAACGCCGCTCCCGCCCGGAACAAAAGTTCCCCCCAACCCCGCACGTTGGTTCTAGAAACCTCTTGTCCCCTACCAGCCCCGCACAGGTTCCCCCCGCCGGTCTCACCTGCCAGGCGGCCAAACTCGCGCGCCCGGAGCTCTCGCAGGCTGCCCGGGCCGTACCCGTAGACGAGAGGCTGCAGGCTCGAGTCCAGGAACCGCGCAAAGGCCAGCAGCTCGGCCCCCGGGTGCGCGGCCCCGCCGGCCATGACCCAGGCCTGCCCGCCGCGCCGTCCAGGCTGGTAGCGGCCGGGAAGCGCCCGGGCCAGCCCGCGCGGACTCCGCCCCGCCGGGCCCGGGCCGCGCCTCCTGGCCCGCCAGTGGCACCGCGTCCCCGCCGAGGGGCGGCGCCTGTCCGGGCCGGCCGGGCAGGCCCCGGGTGCGCTGACTCACGGAGTTTCACTCCTTTCTGTCCTTTTCCCACCTGGGGGCCGGGGGAGGCAGTGCCCGTGGTTGTCCGCTTTGCATTGCAGTCCATGGAGATGCCCCCAGACCCTGGGAACGCAAAGTTCTCCTGTATCTGCGGTCCCACGGACAGGCGGATGGAAGATGCAATGAACTGCTTTTGCTGCTGGGAATCCTGGAACCTGGAGATCCTCCCGGCCCGGCTTTCCCTGGCCCGAGCCCAGCGCAGCGCCCGGGACCCTTACTCTCCCCGGAGGAACTCCAGGGTGCGGGGCGGGGCGTTTGGAGGGCGTCGTCCAGGGTTGCGGCTCCCCAGTGGGGCGTGCGCTCGGCGTCTCTGAGAATGCGGCTGAGCAAAAGGTGAAAGAGGAGAAACACTGAGGATCCAAGAGTTTGGTTAATGAAGTCTAGGCAGGTGCGCACGTTCGGAACCGGGTAGTTCGAGTGCAACCCAAGCAAAAGCTCCTCCTCCGCTCCATCCGGGGCCCTGTATCCGAGGGGATCACTGCCTCGAGTGTGGAGGGCCGGGTCACACCCACGTGCGCGAATTGCCCGGCCGGGAGAGAGTGAGGAAGCGGGGTGGGCAGGTGCGGACCGCTTCCCAGGATGGAATGAAAAGTCCTGGAGGCCCAGTGAAGGGAAGGCGCCGCGGGTGTAGAACCAAGCGGGGACTGTGCTGAACCCACTGTGGGAAGCCGGAAAGTCTGGAGGGAGCTAAGGTGAGGACTCAGATTCCGGTCCTTGGAGACCCACGGTGGGGCCCCAGGAATGGACTACTGGCTCTATAGTAGGAAAAATGGGGCATGAGAGGATGATCACGGTCATATCTATCCTCAGGGCAGGTTATGCAGATAAGAATTCAAGAGCAAGCCACAGGAAAATGAAAGGTTTAGTTAGAGGCACAATCCATAGACAAGAGTGTGGACTGTCTCAGAAGGTGGGAGAGGTGCCTGGAAGTGTGGGGTGCTAAGTTTTTAGTGGGCTGGGTCATTTCATAGGCTAATGAGTGGGAGGAATATACTGTCTTGGAGAAGGGGCAGGGATTTTCAGGAACTGGGGTAGCATCCACTTGGCTTTTTATGGAACTGCCGCTGGCACTGGTGCCTGTGCCCTTTAGCAGAGGCTAATGTATTAGAGTGAGTGTATGAGGCTCAAGGTCTGCTGGAGGTCAAATCATCTGCCATCTTGGGCCTAGGAGGTTCTAACCAGTTTTTGTTACATCCTGTTCCTCTCAATAGTTTCATCATTCTTTAAATGGTTGTGTTCTGCCCCCTTCCTTCCTGTCCCAGCCCTCAAGCAAGCTGTAGTGGGAAGGGAGCCCAGGAGACAAGTTCATCGCCTGTGCTACCGCCAGGCCTGCGGTTGCCTTGGGATGCCTGACAATGAGTGGAGCAGATGCCCTGGACCAGCCTCTGCGTGTATAAAAAGCACCCCCAAGGTTCCTGCTGCCCAGTGGCCCCCTGTGAGCCAGCCCTCCTGACTGAGCCCCCAGTACCAGATCTGAGACAGACCCTGGTGGGGAGGGGGGTGGAAGTGGTGGTTGTTGTGGCCCAGGCTGGATGCATTGGGTACAGAGGCTATAGCACTAGAGCCGGTGCCCAGACTTGCCCTTGCCTGGGTGGACTCTACCCAAACACTGCTCTGGCTCATCTCACTCACAGCAGAATCCCTAGGATCTTACTGTGGAAGGAATGAATGCATCGATGGATGGGTGCCCCAGTTTGCTCTTTAGCATCATCACCCAACCCACCTCCCTGTGCCACACCTTCTAGCCACGCTTGGAGCAGGAACCTTGGGCATCTTGGCCTCCGTTTCCCTACCTCTAGGTTGGGGGAATGGTGGGGGGTGGTGCTCCTCTCACCCCTCTTTTTAATGCCCTTCTTCTCCTTGAGGACAAGTTTTTCAGGAATTATCCTGCAAGAATTATCTGGAAATCTATTAAAATGCAGCTTCTAATTAAGTTTGGAAGGAGTGGGACGGGTTCTAGGTTTCTAACTAGCCTGGGTGATGCTGACGTTAGTGTCCTTGAACTGCACCCTGAGGAGTGACAGCCTAGGTCATTTCCCGGGGAACGGACGGAGTACTTCTCAAGATGTCATGTGGCCGCGTAACAAGTCAGAAATCCACAAGGGTGCTACCTTAGGATAAACTTGCTAGGAAACAATCTGAATGGGCCAAGTCAGAACTCCTTTAAAAAATTTTTTAAATTGTGTTAAATATACATAACATGAAATTCCTTCTTAGGAATTTTTTTTTCTTCAGAAGCCAGAGCTCCTTTTTTCTTTGTTTTTAGTCACAAGGCACATGGGATCTTAATTCCCTGACCAGAGATCTAACCGACCCTGTCATTGGAAGCTTGGAGTCTTAACCACCGGACTTCCAGGGAAGTCCGTTCTTAGCCATTTTTAAGTGCACAGTTCAGTAGTATCAGGTTCATCCACCTGCTGTGCAAACAATCTCCAGAGTTCCTTTCATCTTGCAAAACAAGTTTTGTACCCTTTAAATAAGAACTCCACTTCTCCCTCCCCCAGCCTCTGGCAACCACCATTCTACTTTCTGTACATAAAAATTTGGCTACTCCACTATGGAAAACAGTGTGGAGATTTCTTAAAAAGCTGGAAATAGAACTGCCATATGACCCAGCAATCCCACTTCTGGGCATACACACCGAGGAAACCAGATCTGAAAGAGACACGTGTACCCCAATGTTCATCGCAGCACTGTTTATAATAGCCAGGACATGGAAGTAACCTAGATGCCCATCAGCAGACGAATGGATGAGGAAGCTGTGGTACATATACACCATGGAATATTACTCAGCCATTAAAAAGAATTCATTTGAATCAGTTCTAATGAGATGGATGAAACTGGAGCCCATTATACAGAGCGAAGTAAGCCTGAAAGATAAAGACCATTACAGTATACTAACACATATATGTGGAATTTAGAAAGATGGTAACGATAACCCTATATGCAAAACAGAAAAAGAGACTCCTATGTATAGAACAGACTTATGGACTCTGGGAGAAGGCGAGGGTGGGATGTTTCAAGAGAACAGCATCGAAACACGTATATTATCTAGGGTGAAACAGTTCACCAGCCCAGGTTGGGTGCATGAGACAAGTGCTTGGGCCTGGTGCACTGGGAAGACCCAGAGGGATTGGGTGGAGAGGGAGGTGGGAGGGGGGACCGGGATGGGGAATACATGTAAAAATAAAAATAAAAATAAAATAAATTAAAAAAAATTTAAAAAAAATAAAATAAAATAAAATAAACATTTTTCCAAGAGTAAAAAAAAAAAAAAAAAATTTGGCTACTCTAAGTACCTCATATGAGTGGAATCAAACAGTATTTGTCTTTTTGTGACTAGCTTATTTCACTTAGCGTAATGTCCATGTGGTAGAATGTGTTTAGAATTTCCTTTTTAAAGGATCTTCCCTGGTGGCTGAGACAATAAAGTGTCTGCCTATAATGCAGGTAAAGCCAGGTTCAATCCCTGAGTCGGGAAGATCCCCTGGAGAAGGAAATGGCAACCCACTCCAGGACTCTTGCCTGGAAAATCCCATGGACAGAGGAGCCTGGCAGGCTACAGTCCATGGGGTCACAAAGAGTCAGACACGACTGAGTGACTTCACTTTTTTTTTAAGGCTGAATAATATATAGGCTTCCCTGGTGGCTCAGAGGGTAAAGCGTCTGCCTGCAATACGGGAGACCTGGGTTCAATCCCTGAGTCGGGAAGATCCCCTGGAGAAGGAAATGGCAACCCACTCTAGTACTCTTGCCTGGAAAATCCCATGGACAGAGGAGTTTGGTAGGCTATAGTCCATGGGGTTGCAAAGAGTCGGACATGACTGAGCGACTTCACTTATTTACTTTACTTCCTATATGTGTGTGTGTGTGTGTGTGTATGTATGTGTATATATATGTGTGTACATAGGTATATACTATATAAATGTGTGTATACATATATATAGGTTTAGGTTCCACTATAGGTTTATACCTGCTGTATGTATATGTATATATATATATATATATGTATAAATGTGTATGTATGTGTGTATACACATATAGGTATATATGTGTGTGTGTGTATATATGTGTGTATATATATATGTATGTGTATATATATATGTTTCAGTTCAGTTCAGTCGCTCAGTCGTGTCCAACTCTGCAACCCCATGAACCACAGCACGCCAGGCCTCCCTATCCATCACCAACTCCTGGAGTTTACTCAAACCCATGTCCATCGAGTCGGTGATGCCATCTAACCATCTCATCCTCTGTCGTCCCCTTCTCCTCCTGCCCCCAATCCCTCCCAGCATCAGGGTCTTTTCCAATGAGTCAGCTCTTCGCATCAGGTGGCCAAAGTACTGGAGTTTCAACTTCAGCACCAGTCCTTCCAATGAACACCCAGGACTGATCTCCTTCAGGATGGACTGGTTGGATCTCCTTGCAGTCCAAGGGACTCTCAAGAGTCTTCTCCAACACCATAGTTCAAAAGCATCAATTTTTCGGCACTCAGTTTTCTTCACAGTCCAACTCTCACATCCATACATGACCACTGGAAAAACTATAGCCTTGACCAGACGGACCTTTGTTGGCAAAGTAATGTCTCTGCTTTTTAATATGCTGTCTAGGTTGGTCATAACTTTCCTTCCAAGGAGCAAGCGTCTTTTAATTTCATGGCTGCAGTCACCATCTGCAGTAATTTTGGAGACCCAAAAAATAAAGTCTGACACTGTTTCCACTGTTTCCCCATCTATTTCCCATGAAGTGATGGGACCAGATGCCATGATCTTAGTTTTCTGAATGTTGAGCTTTAAGCCAACTTTTTCACTCTCCTCTTTCACTTTCATCAAGAGGCTTTTTAGTTCCTCTTCACTTTCTGCCATAAAGGTGGTGTCATCTGCATATCTGAGGTTATTTATATTTCTCCTGGCAATCTTGATTCCAGCTTGTGCTTCTTCCAGCCCAGCGTTTCTCATGATGTACTCTGCATAAAAGTTAAATAAGCAGGGTGACAATATACAGCCTTGATGTACTCCTTTTCCTATTTGGAACCAGTCTGTTGGTCCATGTCCAGTTCTAACTGTTGCTTCCTGACCTGCATACAGGTTTCTCAAGAGGCAGGTCAGGTGGTCTGGTACTCCCATCTCTTTCAGAATTTTCCACAGTTTATTGTGATCCATATATAGGTTTAGGTTCCACTATAGGTATATACCTACAATATATGTGTGTGTGTGTATATGTATATATATGTGTACACATATGTATACACATGTATGTGTATATATATATATGTTTAGGTTCCACTATAGGTATATACCTGCAATGTGGGAGATCCAGGTTTGATCCTTGGGTCAGGAAGACCCCCTGAAGAAGGGCATGGCAACCCACTTCAGTATTCTTTCCTGGAGAATCCCATGGATAGGGGAGCCTGGTGGGATACAGACCGTGGGATCACAAAGAGTCGGACACAACTGGGCAGCTCACACACACATAGGTATATAGCATGTGTAACACATATAACACACATATGTAGCATATTTTTGGACCCATCCAAACTGATGGACAACTATAAACATGGGTTTGTGAGTATCTCTTTGAGATCCTACTTCCGGCTCTTTCAAATATATAACCAGAAGTGGGATTGCTGGATCATATGGTAGTGCTATTTTTAATTTTTAAGGAATTACCACTGTTTTCCATAGCAGCTGCAGCATTTTACGTTCTGACCAGTAGTGCACAAGGGTTCCAATTTTTCCACATTCTCACCAGTCCTTACTTTCTGGTTTTATTTGGTTTGGTTAGATTTTTGTTGTTGTTATAGTAAAGCCATCCTACTGGGTGTGAGGTGGCCTCTCACTATGGTGTTGATTTGCATTTCCCTCCTGATTGGTGGCATTGAGTATCTTTTCAGGTGCTTACTGGCCATTTATATGTCATCTTTGGAGAACTGTCTGTTCAAATCCTTTGCCCCCCTTCATTTTTGAATTGGCTGTTTTGTTTTGTTTTTATTATTGAGTCGTAGGAGTTCTTTATATATTGTGGATATTAATCCTTCATCAGATACATCATTTGTGATGTTATCTCCTGTTCCATAGGTTGCCTTTTCACTCTGTCGACTGTGTCCTCTGATGTACAGGGTAGAACACTTAAGGTCATTAAAAACCACTGAACTACCCCATAAGTCAAGAAGTATCTTTAAGCTCCTGGTTCTGCCCAGGGCCCTGTGGAGGAGGATGTGAAGATACTGTGCCTATAGCCATGTAGGGACATGACTCAGAGAGTGGGGTTTGAGTGCCCTGTTGCTTGGCTTCAGAATGCAGGTTAGAACAGCAGGAGGGAGGAGAGAAAGGAGCTACTTCCAACCAGGAGTCCAGGGAAGGCACCCCAAAGGAAAAAGCCTGAGACCTGGGCCACAGTGAAGAAGGGAGGGTGGGGCAGAGGGGGACATCGGGAGTGGTCTCCTTACCTTCACGTGCATTTCACAAAGATTCCCTGGGCCTCTCCTGCCAGAATGAGACTGTCAGAAATCAGATTGCTCACTCCTATCCCGCCTGAAGTAGAACCTCCAGTCCCCACCAGTGAGTGTCTTACACATGTTCATCATTCAATAAACTCCTGTGCTACAGGCCTGCCACTGCTTCGTCCTCGCTGGTCTAGCTGCTGGCCCTGGGACCTGAGAAAATGGT